CAGATATCCATATGATGCAGAGTCACTAGTTTTCATCGTTGGGAACACTTGTGAAGATGTTGTGCTTGTTGATTCTCAGTATTTTTGTGTCATTAATAATCAAAGAAGTGCAACTTTTGCTTCTCCTTTTCTATGATCCACAGCAGTGTAACAGTGTCCTGCTGCACAGAAGACATTTCTGAGTTCTCTCTGCTTGTGCTTGTTTCCAGAGAGGACTTCACACTGCAGTGAAAAATGAGCCCATAGTGACAGAAGCTAAAAAAAAAAAAAATACCCAGAGGCTGCTGCGAGTCCACAGGGTTAAAGATTGAGTGGTCCAGGGGGAAATCGAGATTTATAAAAACATAAATAAAGAGGAAGGGTTTGTGAGATGGGCTGATACGGTGCATTATGACAGAGAGGATAGTCCGTCTCCGGCTAGTATGTTCATTCTCCAGACTCTCCTAAGCGACAGGTAAAGAAGCTTAAACCCCCGGATTGTGTCCCTGTTTGGGAAAGGTCCCGGGAAGTCACCCGAGATTCATTCGGCACTTTGGACACTTCCGCTCTGCCCACATCCCCGAAGAGATCCATAATTCATGGCTGTGTCCAGGATGTCACCGCTCCAGCGAGCTAGCATTAAATATTTACCGCAGATCATAAGCTGCAGCCATTGAGGCCTGCTTGTCCCTTTAGGAAGAGTGTTTTCAGTCTCAGCATGCACGAGGAATCCCAAATGAGCCCGGCGACTGCACGGGGCCGCTCTGAGATATTTGAAAATCAATCAGTCTGGAGATGGATCTCATAAGTCATCATACTGTAAATGCTAGCAGCACATGTGGCTGTAAACCACGTGCACAGCAGCTCGTTTCTGCAGCTACAATGAGGTTTTTTTTTTTTATGTGTGCACAGCTGTATATATTTTCTGTATGTGTGCACAAACTATTTGCATCTTCCTCGATTTTTTTTTCCCTCAGTTTCTCATCAGCTCTCTGGCTCCCTTGATCAGGCACAGCGGGTATTTCGATCCCCCGCTGATGAGATGAAGGTCAGGATGGAGGAACAAGTGGATGGAGAAGTGGAGTGTGTTAGATTGGAGGAGGAGGAGGAGGAGGAGGAGAGAAAAAAAGAGGAGATCATCAGCTGTGAAACAGGAACACGGCTGAAATTTACACGACAGGGGTCACAATTCTCGCACTTGTGCACAACAAACCCGCAAAGAGTTGCAGCGTTTCTAACAGAGGAAGCCCATTACTGGCGAGGGATCAAACAGGTTTTTTTTTTCTTTTTGGTTCATTATTGATTAACAAGACGACTGTTATTCCAGATTTAGCACCGCTAATAGCTTTAGAAACTTTGAAGAAAGCGTCAAAGAAAAAAAACACATCAAAGGGAATGTCACGGAGTCCAGAGGGTCGGTGAAAGCCACAGCCATGGAATGATATTGATTTGTTTCTTCAACAGGAGTATTTTTCTAAAAGCTTTCTGTTGGTTCTGCAACTGAAAGATTTATACACTCTGGTGTATAAAATGTCAGAAATGGGCATCTTCTTTTCTTGTGAATACATGAATTTATTCTCAAATGCGTCGTATATATATATGTGTGTGTGTGTGTGTGTGTGTGTTCCCTGGCTTGGTAATTGCATGTCTATCAAGGCCAAATGTCACTTGTGCAAATAATCACATTCAGCATCTGGTGGGTTGCGAGCAGGAGGAGAGAGGGGCAGCAGGACAGAACAGCACATGGATGGATAAGACCACAGGAGAGGATATATGTGGAGCGAGGCACCCGGTTGGAACATGCTATCTACCTCCAGATTGTTGAACAGGCTCAGATAATAAGAAAATATTGATTGTAAACATAGTCAGGGGGCTGTAACATCGGGTGGCAGGCGGGAGGAGGATTTCCTTCGTCGCCGGTTGCTACATTGACGCGGGAGAGTCCAAGGGAGGATTTGATAAAGACAACAAGATACCAGGTATTAGCGCCTATAGGACACCTGCTGAAAAATGGATCAGCGTTTATTTATTCAGGCATCATTTCAGCAGCCGATAAGGAAAGATGTTATTGTCTCCGGCCAAAAGTGGTTCGCTGCCAAAATGCAGGCTTGCAGGAAGCAGAGGGGGTGCAAACAGCCAATTAAAAGCTCTGGGTTGTTATGCAAGGCTATCATATTTGCGAACTAACTATAGGAAGAAGTATGTACAAGAGAGGCTGTCGATATTTGCGCCCTGCTCAGTCAGCACTTACACATTGTTTACACATTGTAAATCGATATACCTAATGCTGCTTGAACAGTGTAATTAAAATGTTAAAATGTTTAATGCCCTTTTCATCCGCGGGATCAAGTGGAGACGCGTAACCAAACTTTAGACAAACAGCTCTAATTAGGAGCTCGCTACCTCTGAAGGCGCGAGATGCATTCTTCTTTTTTTTTTTTTTAGGTTTCTCTGAACATCTTGAGCTCAAAACTTCAGGGCACCTGTCAAGTGGTGGGCAGCAAGAGAACAGCCAGTTCTCGAAGTTGATGTGAATAGATGACAGGGTCAGAGCATCTGACTGTATGCGGTGGTTGGTATCTACGAAAAGCAGTCCAAGAAAGGACAATCGGTGAACCGACAACGGGGTCACGGGCGCTCAAGGCTCATTGAAGCGAAGGCTGGCCCTCGTGGTCCGATCTTAAAGAAGAGTTGCTAAAGCGCAACTCGCTGAAAACCTTAATGTCAGCTATGATAGAAAAGTGTCAGAACGCAGTCTTTTCAGCCGAAAACTGATCAGAGTATCCATTCTGACCTTTGTCTTACGCTGGGGAGCAACGGAAGAAGGTTTCCTGCTGTGATTAATCTGCTTTTCTTTCACCGCTTGCATTTATGATGCTGCTATGGGAAAAAGACAATGTGGTGCAGGGACACCTCGGGGCCTGGCATTTTTGCGGATGTCACTTTGAGTGGCACTACCTACCTTAACATTGCTGAAGACCACGTATGCACGCCTACATGGCGGCAGTATTCCTTATGGCGGTTTTCCTCTCAGCAGGATAAAGCACCCTGCCAAACTGCAGCATGCTGGAAAAACATCTTTGATCCATACAGGCCCCGGCACACACATTCAGGGTTTAAGGGATCTGCTGCTAGCATGGTGGTGCCTGATCCCACAGGACGCCTTCGGAGGTCTTGTGGAGTCCAAGCTTAAATGGCAACATAAAGGGGGCATATTTGACCGTCTAGAGCAGGGGTGTCAATCTCAAAAACACAGTGGGCCAAAATTTAAAACCTGAACAAAGTCGCCGGCCAACATTGAGCAAATGAACCTTTTAATATGGACCGAAACAAATTTTGCTTTAACATTGAATATGGAACAAGCGACGCTTATTACCATACATTATATATAACTTAGGGCTGCAGGGTGGCACTGTTGCCTTGCAGCAAGAAGGTTGCCGGTTCGCGTCCCGGTGGGGACACCGGAATCTTTCTGCGTGGAGTTTGCATGTTCTCCCCGTGCAGCGTGGGTTCTCTCTGGGTTCCCCGGCTTCCTCCCACACAGTCCAGAAACATGTTGAGGTTAATTGGTGATTCTAAATTGTCCGTAGGTGTGAATGTGAGTGTGCTTGGTTGTCTGTCTCTAAGTGTAGCCCTGTGATAGACTGGTTACCTGTCCAGGGTGTCCCCTGTCTTCACCCTGAGTCAGCTGGGATAGACTCCAGCCCCCCACGACCCCAGTGAGGATTAAGCGGTGTATAGATAATGGATGGATGGATGTATAACTAAATAGTGGAGACATGCAAAATCAAATTATAAATAAAAAAACACATCAATGGCACAGTTGTAGTGTGAAGTCGCTATGCCTGCTGTCACAGAGGAGAGGGAGTTTCTGGGTCCTGTCCTGATTGACGCGCCAAAACAACAACAGGGCATTATGGGATTTGTAGTATTAGCGGTGAATGCGCTGTACAGTACAATACCAGGGGCAGCTCCAGTAGTCATTTGGTATTGTCTCGCGGGCCAGAGTTTGACACCTCTGGTCTAGAGATTCTCCTCCTTATTAAACGCTTAATCGTAGTAAGTCCTTTTATTCACACCTTTGTTCGTTCCCTCCTCAGCGCCATCACCTTGGACAACACCTTGGTCATCTTATCTACGGTGGCCCCGGACGCCGGACGCTACTACGTGCAGGCGGTGAACGACAAGAACGGCGAGAACAAGACCAGCCAGCCCATCACGTTGTCAGTGGAGAGTGAGTAACCGCGTCCATGCGCAGATTGGAAACCGTCGATTATGCCAGCTGACGGTTGACAGGTCCGGATGCATGATTCAAACGATTTATTCTCACATGCAGCAATAAACAAATTGTCAGTGTGTACATAATGAGATTCGCCAGCATCACTTTTAAATCGACCATTATTACATGATTAATGTCGTTTCAACATGCTCGCTCTTAATTTGAGTGTTTCCATTTGGTTTTGCTCCATGTTTCCACTCCAGAGGGATATATCGCCCCTCCAGATCGACATTTTACAAATAAAACATCGCTGATGCGCATCATATGTTAACTTGATGTACGCACATGTTGTGGATACCCAGCAGTGAAATTGTATTTAGGGAAACGTGAGGAAAATTTAGTTTTACTCAAAAGTAAAAGAGATCAGTGCCGAAAAGTGGGTCTTGTGAGTTTTATTCAACTATAGCTTAACTATTTTGCATTGCCGTTTATAAATTCATCACGAGTTTTGACGTGAAAGTTGTAAAACATGAAGCTACTGTAGCTGTGAAATAATGAGTGTATTTCCCTTTAAAACACAGCAAATCAGAAATATCAATTGGCATGAGCTAAAAAATAGTAAATTTGTGTACTACAGTCCTCAAATACTTAACTCACCTCTGGCAAAAAATAAAATAAACACTATATGATAATATAAGACTCATACTCCATACTGAGTGCTGCTGTAGCTGTATGTTTTTCTTGCATTGTTGTCGTTTATTTAGTTAAATTTCAAATACGGGAGGGATTTTAACACAGGGATATTTTCATTCAAGTATACGGCTATGTCTGTGTCACATCCCAGAAGCCCGAGCTTTGTGATCAGATTTCATTTCGTTGCATTGAAGTGTGCCGGAGCGATATTCACACATTGCTGCAGACACACTCGCACAGTAAGTGGAAGCTACAAGGGCGCAGACAGACTGTTCTACTGCCAAGTAGTTCTTAATATTCACCAGCATCCCTAACTTCCACAACAACAAAACAAAAAAAAACAAAACACAAATCAAACCAATTCAGCCGGCTTCAGCTCAGCAGAGTGAAATATAAGAGGAAACCTAACAGACAGCATCTTATGACATGCTAGACTGGAGTTCATTATGGGAGTGAATGAGGAGGGTGAGGGTAAGATATTATAGTTGACAACACAAGGGAGCAGAAATAGCCCGTGGCACATATTGAGAACAGTGGCAGCGTTGATTATACAAGTGCCAGAACACACACACTTGCACACTGGCGCACAAACACAGGTTTGGGGCTATACGGGGAACGTAGCGGGAGGTCTCGGCTCGGCAGGTCTGAGGAAAACACGTCATCCGTTTGCATGAGCACGCCGCACACACACGCCGACACACACCCGACACACGCCGACACGAGGCTTGTGTGTGCGTTTGAGTGAGTGCTTGCGTTTTTACCGTATGTGTATCTGTCAGTATCTGCTACAGCAGCTGTTCCTGCAGCGACGCCTCTGACACTGCATTTCCCATGAGCTCTCCTGGCTCCGACAGCACTTGCCTAAGAACTGGCGAGAGCGAAGGACGGAGGGGGTGCTCCGAGGAGACGGACGTCGCTCGTATTACGGTTTTATATACTCGGGACCGAGTTTTAAAAGTTCGTGAAAACTGGAAATCTGAGAGCTTTAACTGGTTCGGGCCACTCAGTGCTTCTCGTCTTTTTTGTTGTTGTTGTTTTGACAGACTACTTTATGGTTTTCAGAAAATACATGAAGGTCAACCTGTACCTCGTGTCTGTGTGTAAATACAGAGCTGCAGTCAGGACTCTCTTAGTTTTACTTAGAATAAAGACTCGAGACAAGGACAAAGAGGTAGCCCGGCTCTGGATCTGTCAAGTATGAAAAGGTTCATCCAGCAGCACCTATAAAACGCTCTAATTATGCATCGTATGTCGTCAACAGTTCCTTCTTTTTCAGAGGGAGTTATGAGCTTTAACTATTTCTTGCGAATAACACCAGGACACATCGGACTCTGGACAAATTCCCGACGTTTTCTTGTCACATTAATGAGACAAAACGAGAATCTATAGCCGTATCCAGACACACAACTTGGCAGCGCAAGACGACTGATAAACTATTATTTGCCAGTAAATATCTCCAACACATAACTTACAAATTGTTGTAAAACATCTCCGTTCATTCACACCAATCAGCCGCAACATTTAAGCCGCTGACGGGTGAAGTAAATAACATTGATTATCCCATTACCATGGCAACTGGCAAGTGATGTGATATATAAGGCGGCAAGTGAACAGTCAGTTCTTGAAATTGATGTGTTGGAAACAGGGAGGAAAAAAAATGCACAAGCGTGAGGATGTGAGCGATTTTAAAAAGGACCAAACTGTGATGGAGGGACTTGTTGAGTGTTCCAGATGTGTCTTACCTACCAAAAGGACAACTGGGGGAACCAGCAACAGGGGCAATCCAACCGATCCACGTGGGGAACCAATGCTGACCAATGTGGTCCAATCCTTAATGCTGCTATGACCCAAAGGTGTCACAACACAGCGTCACAGCCCAGATTCATAGCTGCAGACTGATCAGAATGCTGACCCCTTGTCAACCACCAAAGGGCCCTAACAATGGGTAGGGGAGCACCAGAACGGGACCACCAAGCAGGTGGCCTGCAGGTTGCACTATGGGCAGAAGGCAGTGTGATGCTCTGTGCGGAGTTGTGCAGGGAAACCTGTAGATGTTACTGTGAGACGTCCTAATCTTTGTTGCAGACCACGTACATCCCTTCATGGCAGCGGTCTTCCCTGACGGCTCCATGGCGCCTTGCAAAAGTTGTTGGGTGTGAGGAACAGTTGATGGTGTTGACTTGGCCTCCAAATTCCCCACATCTCAGTCCAATCAAGGGTTTCTGTAGGATGTGCTGGAAAAACAGCTGATCTATGTCGACTATTCCTCACAACCTAAAGGATCCACTGCTAGCATCTCAGGACTTGATACCACAGGACACCTTTAAAGGTCTTGTGGAGTCCAAACCTGAATAGCTCAGATGTATTTTGGTGGTTTTAATCTTTTGGTGCATAATTTAGGCCTAACAAAATGTACCTTGACATACATTTTGATAATGAGACAATTTTAGAGCCGTCTGCAGACATCTGCGAGCCAGTTTTTCGTTGCCGCCGGACTTTATGCTAAGCTACGCTAACCACCAGCCCCCGGCTCCATACACACTGGTACGAGATTACTTCTCATCTCAGACTTGGAAATAAACGTATTTTACCTTTAACATGCTTTACAGCAAATTGTAAGGACTTCCAAATCTTGGAAACCCCAGGTTGATGTATGCAGCAGAGCTTTTAGCAGTCCAACACTAGCCTCCTTTAAGGTGTGTGTGTTTGCAAGAGTGTGTTTACGGCCTGGACACAACATCTTGTGACCCAGGACTGGTAAGATGGAGTCATGACAGCGCCTGTAGCTACAGCTGACATGTGCAGCCACAAGCGCACTCCCAGGGCATGATGGGATTGACGGATCAGTGTGAGTTTATCGCAGACATGACACATCTCAAGCAGCACACGCACACACACACACACACGCACACACACACACGGCTCTCACTGCCATGGGCTGTCTGATGCTCATGACAAACACACACAGAAATAAACTAGTTTGCACAAACACACACACAGACGGAGCAGCGTACTCACCTCTTCAGCTTCATGTTGGTCAAACACTATTTTTCTATCTCTGTTTCTGGTTCTCCGGCAGATTTCTCATTATCCACAGTCAGTGCACCGTCTCATCCTATTCTGCCCGTCTCTCCGTCAGAACTCGGATACAGTGTGCGCACTGGTCAGTTCCAATATTTCACGTCGATGAGCACCCACAGAGTGCACCGAGCGGAAATGAAAGTTATAGGATGATCCGGAGAGGACCCCCCGCAAAATGTGGACCCGCCACATTGTGTCTTTATTAACCATATCTGGTTCTATCAATCTGTCACTGCTCTGTGCTGAACAGCTTCATGTATGTGTTGGGTTTTTTTTGTTGGTGTGTGTGGTGACCTTTCTTATCTTTCTGTCCAGATGTTGGAGGTCCAGCGGATCCCATCGCCCCCACCATCATCATCCCTCCCAGGAACACCAGCGTGGTCACCGGCACCTCGGAGGTGACGATGGAGTGCGTCGCCAACGCCAGGTAAAAATCCTACAACGGCAGGTCAATATTAAAGAGCCACTCTAATCATTGGGTATAATCAGGATCCAGTATAAATCCAAAATACTGTAGGTCCAATTAAAGGACTGCTGGTTAAACATTGCTGTGTCCAAGCTCCAAAGAAATGTTCCCACAACATTAGCTACCATTACCTACAACTTCTAATAGTGTTTAGAATTCCCACTAATGTTCCTATAAGGTTTAAATACGGTGGCCCAGAAGTGTCACAACAAAACAAAAGCCACAACACACTACAAAATTAACCACAACACTACAAAACAAGCCGCAACACAACACAACGACTGCAACGGAAGTTGGTTTTGTTAACCCGGAAGTTATACTGTGAAGTGCGCAACGCCACATGAAGTGGGCAGAAGCCGGAGATTGTTGGAAACAACTCAAGAAGTAAGTAAAATACTGATGGCAAATCGTATCCATTAATCTTGGTCTGCGCTATTAGTAAACATTAATTACTGTCAGTATTTTACTTACTTCTTGAGTTGTTTCCAACAATCTCTGGCTTCTGCCCACTTCGTGTGGTTGCGCACTTCACAGTATAACTTCCGGGTAAAAAAAAAACCAAAAAAACTTGTGTTGTGTTGCGGCTTATTTTGTAGTGTTGTGGTTAATTTGGTTGTGTTGTGGCTTTTGTTTTGTTGTGGCACTTCTGGGCCACCGTATTTAAAGGCTTTTAGCGGCAACATTCAAAGAATGTTTGGAGGCTGCTGTCGAGAATGCCGATTGTGTTGCGTGGAGAAACATAAAGGAGAAACATTCACAAACATTCACAAACAACATTCAAAAAATGTTTTCTACATTTTATCAAGGTCTCAGATGATTTTTCTAAAATGTTCTAAAATGTTCCTGTAATGTGACGTTTTCACAAAGGTGGAACGTTTAGCTGCAATGTTCTGAGGATGGTTTGCGGATAACGTTAAAGGAACGCATTACGGAACGTTATAAACACTCTCGTGTTAGAAGGCTTTTAATGCAACATCCGGTTTTGCCTTCAGGGAGAACATTCTGGGAACTGAAAGAAAGCTTCCCGCTGAAAGCATTACTGTAACTTTTGCAGAACTTTCTCAGAACGTTTTTGGAACAAAAAAACAACATAGCTGGGGTGTCAGGGTGGAGACAGATGTCACAAAATCTGGGCAAATAAAGCCCAAACCTTCTGCGAGGCTCGATGGCACAAGTGAGAGGTTATGTTTGTTTTTATTTCTGTCATTTTTCGTGACCTTTTTTTTAAAACCCGCCGGGGATCCATTTACATTTCTCTGTTCCCATTCTGCTCTAACAAGAATAAAATACACTGCGCGAACACACAAATACCATTTTTAACAAGAGTTTTTTTCTTTCTTTTCTTTTCTTTTCGTCTTATACTCTTTATTTATTCATTTTTTTTACTTGTATTTTTGGAATATGCAATACCAAAGCAGACTGTTCCACTAACGACATCCCTTGATTCATGAAATAGTCAGTTTGGCCCATTGACGGAGATTTTTCTCATGAAAACAATCTGAATAGCCGATGCTCCGGCACAATAAACAGTCGTGTGTGTGTGTGGGATAAACAAGACGAAGCAGCGTTGCATAACCGTTTTTAAAACTAATGCCGACAGAGCAATAAAACTCACTTGACACCCTTTTCTGCTCGTGCAGGCCTCTTATCAAGCTCAGCATCTCGTGGAGGAAGAACGGCGTGTTGGTGAGCAGCGGTTTGAGCGACTTCAACCGCAGACTGACCATCCTCAGCCCCGTGGTGAGCGACGCCGGATACTACGAGTGCGAGGCCATCCTCCGCAGCAGCAGCGTGCCGTCGGTCAGCGCCGGGGCTTATCTGCACGTACTTGGTAAGAATTAGAGGCTGAAATGTGCTCTTGTCTGTAGCTTCTCTTCCTTTTTATTGCCGCTTGCAGCAGTACTGTTGTAACAGTGTCTTGCACCTGCATATTTTTACATTTTTAGGTGACAGCGTCTTCTTATTAAGTTGTTGCCACTTTGGTTTCGCACCAGTTTGCACATTTTTTTTTTCTATTTTTTTTCCCACAGAGAACGTTCACAGATAGTCATGCGGATGTCTGCCTATATTGCAGGTTTTAATCCGACACTGTATTATTAGACTCCTTTTTTGCACAGTGGTCCCTGAAGAGGAAAACACATATGAGTGAGAGCATAAACATTAAAGAAATGGGCTTGAAATAAACATCCAAATGTGCCTCCTACATCAGAATAAGTTTATAATCCCCTTGTTTTCTTTGCTGTTTGATATTTGCAGCACTTATATCTCATTTTTTGTACCGTATGTGTTTGCAACGTTTCCATTTAGCCTGAAGGTTCACCATAGTTTGAGACCTTTTATCCAGAAGGTAAACACAGAAGAATGTAATCAGACATGATGCATAACTGCCGTATGTGCTTTTTTCTTTTCCTTTTTACTCGCACGACAAACCAAACACTTAGCCTCATCTGCAGAAATGAGCTTCGGGTTCGCGAGTTCAAACAAAAGCCACCGTACGAAAAAAAACCCGACGTGAACAATGACGGTCTCGCTGCATGAATATGGCGAAAAAGCATAGCCGTGAAGTTGCGAGGCGGTAAAAGTGTTATTGATTTAAAAAGGCAGGGGGAAAAAAAAACTAATGGCTGGCCTCAAGAAACTGTTTAATAGCATTGCTCGAGTCATTTTCATTCCATCCCACCGAAGCACTTTGATGTTTTCAAGGTTGTGATGTGATTCAAAGGTGTGGTGAACTTTTCCCTTCATGCTGCTGGCGGAGCCTTTCCTCTACCTGTGAGGTGGAGGAGCAACATATATACAGGACATGTCTGCAAATATTTTATTATATCTGTTCATGGGACAACACTAAAGACAGTGTACAACTTGTATAATGGTGTACATTTACTGTCCCCTCAGAATAACTCAATTAAACAGCCATTAATGTCTAAACCGCGGGCAAGAGAAGTGAGCACACCCCTAAGAGAAAATGTCCAAATAATGGTGGCCCAAAGTGTCAGTATTCTCTGTGGCCACCGTTATTCTCCAGCACTGCCTAAACCCTCCTGGCCATGGAGTTCACCAGAGCTCCATAGGTTGCCACTGGAATCCTCTTCCACTCCTCCATCATGGAGCTGGTGGATGTTGGAGACCTTGTGCTCCTCCACCTTCCGTCTGAGGATGCCGAGATAGGGTTTAGAGACATGCTTGGCCAGTCCATCACGGTCACACTCAGCTTCTCCAGCAAGGCAGTGGTTGTCTTGGAGGTGTGTTTGGAGTTGCCCAGTTTCTGAAGGCAGGGGATCACGCTCTGCTTCAGGATGTCACAGTGCATGTCAGCCTTCATTCAGCTGTGCTATGACGTGTGCACCCATTCATAACATAGTTTGTGTTTAATTGTGTCCATCAGAGCCACCACAGTTCATCAAGGAACCGGAGAAGCACATCACCGCTGAGATGGAGAAGGTGGTGGATATTCCCTGTCAGGCACGAGGTGAGTGGATTTTTAGTATGAAAATAGTTGAAAACTTCCAAATTTTGATGTTTTCGTACTGACAACTGAGTCTGACCGACTGCAGGAGTGCCCCAGCCGGACATCGTGTGGTACAAGGACGCCTTGCCCATCGACCCGGTGAAGACGCCCAGGTACAGGGTGCTGGTGGGAGGCAGCCTGCAGGTTAACGGCCTGCTGCCCGACGACACCGGCATGTTCCAGTGCTTCGCCAGGAATATGGCGGGAGAAGTCCAGACCAACACGTACCTGGCGGTTACCAGTGAGTGGTGGTTTCCACAGATAATTACTGCTATTAAAGACGTGACAGTGTGTTTCATTAAAACTTTATTTTTTGTTCATAAGCTTGATAAATCCTCACACAGCTCTCTTAAAGCCTCCTTGTCAGAATCAGAACCAATTAGGTGTAATTACTTTAGTAGAGAAGAACCGATTTAGTGCTTTAAATTGACCTCAAATGGCCTCGACAAAATAATCAGAGGGTTTATTTAATTTCATATATTAGCAGAATTCATAAAATAGTCTAAAAAAGGCCTCTTTCTTTAGGAGTGTCAGCATTTTTAGACATTCTCGTTGCGTTGGGAGTTTGTTGGTCCAAACAGAAGTAGCTCGAAGCCTTCTTTGGCTTGTTTACCTTCTCATTTGGTGAAGATGTTCACGTATCTGCAGGAGGAACCGAATGAACTTTGGTTGCTTTTCATTGTGCGCCATCAGCAGGTCAAAGTTTGAACTCGTCCAATGCGTTCGCTTTTTGCCAAATGCCTACAAAACTAGTAATTCAGTGCGAATGTTTGATGTTTGCACGGTCCAATCCCAGTTTACACATTTACAGACTTAAGGCAGCAAAGTTTGGGGTTTTCCCACTCTCAAGTTGACAAGTGCATAAGAACGCTAATGCAACAAATACGTGCCCATATCTCCCCTGAGGGACTTGTCCACGGTTTATAACAAAATTGGCGACGTACGAACTTGGTTGTCCTGCTTCGCCACAAAACCGAGCCTGGATGGTGCAGGAAAGAAATCTGCCTGGAAGTTTATTTCCAGCGGTAGCATCTGGCTGCTCGCTTTTGCGGTTATTTATTGCACATTTGTAGAGTTGTTTGTGTTTCCAGTCAGTCGTCTGCATGGGATTTACAGATGTTCATGGATTTTTCTGACGTTTGGCGGTTTGCGAAACGTCTTATAAACGCTGAGTGATTGACCGAGCAGCTGATCAAACTGTGAATAAAATATAAGACCTAATTCTTTTTTCTTAATTCACCGTGGACTCATTTTTCACTGCACTTCCTACTGCAACAACGGCACCTAACCCTAATAAACGTATACCCAGAAAGGAACCACGACTTTATCCAAGAACACAAACCAAAAACAACTGAAAAAAAACTAAAACTAAAACCCGTTCGGGCAGAACAATGACACAGACCAGGATGAAAAAACCAGAAGAGGTAACTAATCAACCACGAAAAAAAAACAAGGCAAAATCCAAAACGTATACCCAGAAAAGGGACCATGACTTCACCCAAGAACACAAACCAAAACAAACTGAAAAAAACAGAAACTAGAACCCATTCGGGCAGAACAATATGACACCACCCAGGACAATGTGATAACAATCGATTAATCAAACTACTGTGGAAAACAAAGACCAAAACCAGACAAACTTTGAAGGCAGAAGCCCAGTTATTGAGACAGATTTCCATAAAACCTAACTCTACACCCAAACCCCTAACCCTTGGACCAAAGAGTGTTACCAAGGCGGCGACGGCCTCTCGCCAGGACATCCTGTCTTGTACTTTTGTACGGGACAAGGGAATGCAACCAAGGGAACAATGGCCTCTTGCCTTACCAGTCTTCCCATCACAAATTCCAAAACCTAACCCAAGAGGCTTACAAGATGACACTAACCTACAACAAGGTGAACGGAGAGCAATGAAAACGTGCATTGCCTTTACTTCCTACCCCAAACTGCTTTGTCGTCGGACACGGCAGGGGAAGTTATCGAGACAGATTTAAAAAACCTAACCCATGGCTAGAAATAGAAAGAACTTTAAAAGGCCTTCTGTGCAGTATGACAGTTTTATATATAACTTTTTTTTATAAATTTAAAAAAAATAAAACATTTGTTTGAAAGAAAATCCACAGGTGTTACCAATTCTAGAAAAAGATGCGGCTCATAGTATAAATATTTGATTACTTACATTTTCTTAATTGGTTTCGCTACTTCTAGGTCTCCTATCTAAACACAGCCTGCAGTTCAGCCGGATTTGAATCGTTTTCAACCAACTTTTTGTCACAGTTAAGTCACGAATGCCTTTACAGTTGAATAGAGGAAGGTAGAATATTTATTCACAGAATCTGCAAACTGTTTCTTTTTGGCAAGTAAGATAAACTTAGTTTAATGAAGTATTACAATTTTGAGTTTGGATTTGGTCAGTGTGTAGTTCAAAGACCATCGGAAAGTTCTGTGAGTCTGTCGGTTGATATATTTTCCTGCTTCTGATAAAGATTTGTGTCATTTTGGCATTTTTTCTTGTCGAGGTTGGCAGGTCTTTGTTGGTCGTTGTTTTTGTGCAACATGTACTGTATTTTTTACTTTTTTCTACCATTTCGAGCCGTCGTGGAGTCACACAGTCAAAAATAACAGCGCTTAACGTCGCCTTTGTGAGCATGTTACTGTACTTCTGCCGGCATTTAAACTCCGGCCGAGTGCACCCTCACAGAGCTGCTAACATGAATGTCGATTCTTCTCATTTGTATTAATACAAATGCATGGAAACCTGATAAATCACAACATGTAAAAGCTCAGGTTTTAAAATAAATAAATAAAAAAATCCAGTTATACAAAAGAACATTTCCAGCATGATGTAAAAAACATACAACGTTTCACAGCAATCGCATGTGCCAGAGAGCTACGCAATTATGTGGAGATGATTAAAAACACAGCAGAAACAGAAACCAATCTACAAACGTACCTGCTTATGTAAGCTGTATCGGAACAGAACCGGTGCTCAGCACGCCAGGACCTGATTACTGGTAAAATACACTTTTTTATTTTTTTTTCTTCTTCAATGCTGGCAAACGAATTTATGAGCGAGGCCACAGAGGAAAGCGTGTATTTTAATGTGAGAGCGACAGCAAGGCTTTTAATAGGAGTGGGACGACGGTACTGTAAGAGGAGGACTCTGACCCAATCACTTCATGTTATTGTTTGTAGAACAAACTTGGATTGCATTTAAATTCATAAAAAATCTGTTCTCTCAGTAATTAAGATCAGCGCTTAAAATCCCTCGACGTGTAAACTGACAATTAAAGCTGATTTAGAACAACGACTCAGCGTTAATACCGCATTTGCTGCTTCAGTCCAATCACCTGAAATTTGTGTTTTTTCACCCCCTGAGCTGGAATTTAAAAATCACTGGTAATTTTACTCTCACTGTGCATCTGTGTTTCAAAGTTTCTGACGTCTAATTTCCTTCACTTTGTCTGAGTTCCTGCTGCCTTCACTCGACGCCGCTCCGTCGTCTTATCAGAATTCATAATATTCCGTCTCGCTAAATCAACCCTTCCATCCTTCTTTTTTCTTCCCTCCGTGACATTGTCTCCTCCTCTTCTCCTCTCTCTCCTGCTTCCAGATCTCATCTTATCATCCTCCTTTCTGTTTTTTTTCCCCTCTCTCTCTCTCATTCATGTTCCCTCTTCTCCTTCTGTCCTCCTCTCTCTGACAAACTCTCCTACTTCGCCTCTCCTCTGGGAGTCATACATTTTTCTGTCATCCTATAAAAGTTTTTGATTTATTGCATATCACAAATACGGATTTTAGTTATCTACAAATTGCCGTCTCTCTCTCTCTCTCTCTCTCTCTCTCTCTCTCTCTTGCTTCCTCCTTCAGTCATTTTTCTCTCCTCCTTTGCATACATCCCTTAGCTATCTCCGTGGGTGCAAAAAATAGACCGGCAGCAGACGGTTATGGCACCGAGGTGAAGGCTGTGCCAATCCGTTAAGAATTAGTGGGACAAAGCGACGACTAAACACTGCAGCAGGAAAAAAAAGAAAAAGCGTTTGAAGTGGGGTTTTGCCACAGACCGATATTCTCTCACCTCTATAACCCTCTTACCTTCCTCTTGTTACTGTACTGAGCTTCCTCCTGATTCCGTGTTTGTCTCCCCCCGAAGGCATCGCCCCCAACATCACGGCGGGGCCCTCCGACAGCACCGTGATCGACGGGATGTCCGTCATCCTGCACTGCGAGACCTCGGGAGCTCCGAGACCGGCTATCACCTGGCAGAAAGGTCTGAAACGCTTCCCACCGAGGGATTACCACGTCTGTTATCTGTTTCGCACGGGACCTTAGTTTGCGGTGGCTTAACAAATAAAGCCTGATTGGATTCCTTTGACTGGATTTACCTTGTGCCAGGCGTTTCATGTTTGCAATAGCAGATCAGGAAAACGCTGTCCTTGTTTTGCACAATCCGCCTTTCCTCTATTTTTACACCCCCTGAATGCATCGCCTTACCTTCCCCCCGTTTCCTCTACGCCGTCTGACCTTTTTCCTCTTGTTTACGTATCTCCTTCCTCATTAGTTTCTTTCTCTTCTGCCCGTTCAAGGCGAGCGCGTGCTGGCCAGCGGTTCGGTCCAGCTGCCCAGGTTCACCCTCCTCGAGTCGGGCAGCTTGCTAATCTCGCCCTCGCACATCTCCGACGCCGGGACCTACACGTGTATGGCGAGCAACTCCCGGGGCATCGACGAGGCGTCCGCCGACCTTGTTGTCTGGGGTAAGTAAGCGCATGTCTTGCATTCCTTTTTTTGAAAGCACACGCCCGATGCAAAGCCGATCATCCCTGTGCAGCGGTGGTGTTTCACGGAGAGGCAGGAAACAACTGTATAATAACAAAAAGCCCAATTCCTTCAAACACAAAAGCATTCTTGTGCGCAAAACTTTGGAGTTCGTCATCGAGGTGCTTTCTCCAACAAGCCATCAAGAAACAAAACACAAACCAGCAGCATGTCATTTCGGCTGAAATGAGTTTTCAGAAATTCATTTGTCTGTTTCGCTTTTTTTCTCTTCTGTCATTGTTCTTCTTAGAAGGACATTTTCTCGGCTGTTTCTGTCACTTTTCCTCACCTCCCTTTCTGTCTTCCTTTTGTTTCCGCAGCTCGCACCCGGATCACCACGCCCCCGCAGGACCAGAGCGTCATCAAAGGAACTAAAGCCATCATGACATGCGGAGTCACTCATGACCCCAGCGTTACCGTCAGGTGAGGGCGCAAACATGGCCATGAAATGAGTTCAGCGGCGTTATTATGGAGGCTTCTGCCACAACTGATGTCGTGAAGCGTTTCATAGTAAAAGGAGTAGATTTAAAGCGCCCCTTTCGCACATGCATCCTGTTCCGTTCGGGTCTGAACGTGCACCCCGCTCGCTTCGTCGTAAAAGTTGTGATCTCCAACCCGGTAACGTTTCTGTTTCGCTTTCAACGTGGCACAAGCCTCATACTGCAGTCACATTAACGCACAGACACGTACGAGCAGCGGTACTTTAGGGCCCGTGAGTTGATTTAGGGAAGCTTTTCTCCACATTTCAGCGCCGATATTCGTCCAAAAAACATCACAGAGAAGCACTCAAGACGCCGTTTATGTGCCAAGATCCCAACGCACCTTCCTCGCTCGCTTTGCCCCGCAACTTCATGTACATTAAAGTTGAGTTTTACTGCGATATAAATAGACACTAACCGCTTAGATTAAAAGTACTCACCAATCATAAGTTTAATTCTTTCTTTTTTTTTACCCCCACAAGACAATAACAGGAGCAGAAGTTGCTTGAAGGAGTTTTTCCACGGAGTTGATTAAAAACTCGGGCCATCAGACAGCAGCAGGATCCGTATGCGCGTCTCCAGAAGCGAGAGACAGTTAAATACTCATAATTATAAATTATCCGGAGAATTATACGGAGAGCGATCAGTCCGGGCCGCGATCCAACGGCAAGTCACACACTGTGTTCTTCACATCAGACCGGGGAGCTGTCACACAGAGTTTAGTTTGTTGCTTCTGGCGGAGTTTCGTAAATACCTGCAGCATCAGGATGAAGACAGGATGCATGTATGGAGAGAGTAAGAGCAGTCAATCATTAATTAGTTATAATTATCGCCGACATGGAGACAGGATTGGTCAGGTTTTTACCAGAGGTCACGCTGTGCAGCTTGAGTCTGGAGCTCCGTCACAGCTGTCGGGACGGTTTGTAAAATAGTCATTACATTGTCATCAAACATGAACAGAATTGTCAGTTTTAAAAAATCCAAAGTTTACCAGGTTCTTAGTTATTTCATCACTTTTAGGAGCTGTTGCATTATTATATGGTAGTTGGTGTATTGTCGAATCTCGTCTAAATCACAAATATGAATATGAAAAGTGACTGATTAACAGAATGCTGTCACTTTATTGGACCGATGAATCCATGTCCCATGTCTGAAAAGGGCTTCGAAGACCAGGCAGATCTTGAGCAGCTTGTTAATGGACTTGGCATAAGTCTGTATTTTTCTTATTATTCTCAAAAAAAAAAAAAACACAAAAAAAACCCAGCACTAGTAAGTTACTTTATCTCTCAATAATTTATAGATTTAATTTTAAATTGAATCATTTCCTGGCACTGTCAATGTTGCATTAGTTGTTTTCAGCCATTTATTTAATACACGATTGTGCACTGGGGAGTTCGTTCTGTAGCAGGAACGCATCTGTGTCTCACTGATGTGTTTTTGATAAGCGTCTGCAAAGCAAAAGAGACGCTCGTCTTTACAACAGACGTAACGTCAATAATTCCTGGAAGCATCCTAAACCAACGTCAAGGATTGAGATTGGGCCGACTGCAGCATTTACAGAAGATACCAGCATCAAGCCCAAGCCTTTGTTTGCATCTGCTGGCGTACAAATCTCCAATTAAGAGAGTATAAAGTGCAATTAAATGCATAATTTATAGTGAGAGATCTATGACTGGATGACAATAAGTGTCACTGATGTCTCTGTCGTGGTGCCCCTTGATAGCTAAACTCCCACAATGCCCTCTGCTAGCTAAACTCGCACCACGCCCTCTGCTGGCTAAACTTCCACAACATTCTCTGCTAGCTAACATGGAACTGAACGTAGTCTGAGTGACCGCTAACTCGGGCCGCTACGGTACTTAACAGTTAGAGTCTCCACCTGGTGGTGCAACCAGTTACTACAGCTAAGTTACATGTTCATGAGACAACAGGATCTTTCTGTCTTTTGGAGCTGATGCAAAAATGATTTTTTTTACAAGGCATTGTAGAGCCACTTAGCTGTCAGGCATATTCATTGCATTGATTTTAATAACTTTAATGCACTTGAAGTGTGTATTATTCCGGAAAATTACATCAGATTAGGACTCTATATCGGAAAACACTAAATATTAAATGACTCGGGAGGCATCCTGGGCAACAAAAAGACTTGATCGGAAAAACCATACTAATTACTTAAATGATGTAGAGAGAGAATCCGTCAGGATCCAGGACATACTTCACACTTTTCTTCACATCAGACGGGTCATCCATCACTTTATTTTCTGGGCATTAAGAAAAACAGAAAATCTTCTTTTGTTCTCACTGTGGGATCATTTTTCACTGCAACACTTTTCCAAGTGTCCGGAAGTGTTAGTAATTCTTTTCATAGCAGCTGACCTCAGACATGTCCAATCTCACATGTATGTCAGATACTGTGTGCTCGCTGTGGCTCTCTGTGGCTGCATGTGTCTGAATGAAGCCATGAGATATAATCCTGCACCGGTGACCTGTCTCTGAATGACAGAATGCCATCGCTTAAACAGAAACTAACAACCACATATGAAAAGGGTTTTATTCTGCGCTGCTATAGGAATGCTAATGGTTCGATAAAATGTACATAAATACAGAATACATGTGCAGAATTACTTCAGACACAGAGAAGCGTCTCAGACATGCGGCCTTGACGTACAGTTCGCACAAAAGCCTTGTTGAACAAGTTCGTCTGCCACCAACATGCAAGCATGCGTTCACAACAAAGTGTTTCTCCGCATGACAACTGCCGCCAAAACCGGTCCGACGTGCAACAGAACATTGACTGAACTATAAGCTTGCAGTCGACACCGGCAGCGATCAATAGGCCACCCGGTGTCTCTCCGCTCAGAGGGGGAAAGCCGCATTTGAAGCTGCGTTTGAGCTGCGCAGTTTTGATGAATGCGGGATCGCCGTTTGATATGCAGCCATCATCAGGCGCTCCGATGTGCGGGCAGGGCAGCTCTGATGGCGAGCGGGAAGGCAGAAGGGCGGCAGATGAAACCAGTCACGTGGTTTGAAAGACAAGCAGTTTGCTCGCTGCTTTACCGTCAAAGCGAGTTCGCCTCCATCCTACAGCTGACACGCAAACGTACATCGCATCCCAACGGGTAGCGACGGAATTATGCATGTCAGGTTGTGCGAGAAACTAGGTTTTGATGAATAGATTCATGGACTTTAAAGACGAGAACATCGAGCTGAGAGTTTGCCGACAGCAGCAGTTAGAAACAAAGAGGCACCCAGCTGCCGGTCCGACCGATGTGGTGCTGATGATGAGCGTTTTTTTTTTTCTTACGACTTCCATTTAACTTTTAAGAGTTATGATAATGTGTTTGTCCACCTGAGCTTCGTACGGTTTAATCTCTGAGCAACAAAGCAATTGGAATAACTAGCAATCCCCACTGATCAAGTGAGTTACAGCAAACGACTCGGTGCCGGTTTACAGCGAGCATGAAAACTGTTGTTAAAGCAGTTTAGACTTTTTCCATGTGTCATAGTTTGATGTTAGTCATCACCAGTCAACTTCAAATGGGGGGGGACTCGAATAAAAAGCTTAAAGGCACATTTAGAGTGAGTAGAAAAAAAGATAATTTTGCTTTAAATTATTCATTTTGAAAGAATATGTCTTTGCTCAGGTGACTGGCCATTAACTCTCTATGCAAATAAACGTCGTCTAAAAACATTTTCGCGCCCAGCTTTGCTCGTTCTTCTTGTTTGTTTCCGTCCATTATTACCATTAGTCACGACAACGTTTTACAATTTTTGGGGAATTTAAAGCTCTGGCTAGAACACTTTAAAGCGAGCGCTTCTTCGGCACGACGTTCCAAGTTTTTACCTTTGAGATGATTTCGTGAAAGTTCGCGGGAAAGCCGCCGCGGCCTCCTTTGATTGATGCCTGAGTGCACATTTCTGTAAAATGCAGGTGGTGAGTAATACAGTGTTGTGAGTAATTACAATAATGGGAAAAAAAAAAACAAGCGGATAACATCGAGGTTGATAAATACCACAATTTCCCTCTTTAAAAAAAAAATGTGTTCGGCGTGATTGACTGATGCGGCAGATGGTGATCGTGACTTTAACCAGCTGAGCTTTGTATTCCAGGCACGTCTGGGAAAAAGAGGGCTCGGTCATCAACGTCCAGTCCATCCCACGCATGCGGCTGGACGCCGACGGCACCCTCCACATCTCCCAGACGTGGTCGGGAGACATCGCCACCTACACCTGCAGAGTCACCTCGGTCGGAGGCAACGACTCCCGCAGCGCTCACCTCCGCGTCAGGTAACTTTCTATTTTCTGTCTCCTCCTCACGCTCTCTCTCGCAGGCAGGAACACGCTTTTTTGAAGAAAGATGTCGCGCTTTCCTGCCTTCTCCCCGCCAACACCTCCGACTCATTTCCACTTAAATGGCGCCTGTTCCTCCTCGCCTCGCTCCCTATACCTACCATGTTCTCATTCTCACCTGACCCTCTCTTCTGCTTCCTCCTCCTCCTCTTCTCTCCGACACCAAACTCTCAAAGACGTTTCTGTGTTTTAACTTTGCCCGCCACTCTTTTGTACTTCAGCTGCAGCGAGGGTAAATTGAATATGAATGTGACGTCTAACTTTCTGTTTGCCAAACCGACTGACTGATTGTTTCCGTCTTTGTTCACGCTGCCATCTTGTTGGCTGAGTTACTGTCTGTATCCCTTCGTCGCTATAAGGTTTATCTATCAATCCGTCTGTGCTTATCTGAATTTATGGCTGAATGAATTAATGATCCCCCAGCTTTGGCCTCATTTATTCATGTCTTTGTCTGTGCGCTTTCTTTCTATCTGTCTCCTTATGCCTTTCAATCCATTTCCTCCCCTCCGGTGATATCCATCTCGTCTTTGCCTGCCCGTGTGTCCATCTTGACAAGGAACCATCTTTGCTGTCTTGTCTCGCCACATTTCTTCACCCGTCTACCTGATGTCTCTGTTATAAAGGAAGATGCCGCTCTCCTAGAGATTTGTACGAGAGATGTTCAGAGGAGAGCGAAAATGCTCGGCAACTCTCCGGCCCCCACAGCTTGTTTGCTGTGATAGAGGGATTCTTTTATTTATCAAAGTTGTCCTGCTGTTCCCTGCAGGCAGCTGCCCCATGCCCCAGAGAACCCTACAGCCTTGCTGAGCAAATCTGAAAAAAGAGCCATCGACCTGGCCTGGGCCAAACCTTTTGATGGCAACAGTCCACTCATACGCTACATCCTGGAGGTTTCTGAGAACAGTAAGTCGTATTCCACTCATGCATCCGTCTGAGCTCTTTGTGTCAGAACTGTAAGAGCTAAATTATTTATAATGAGTCGGGTTTGGGGAACGAAACACGAGATCAACACTGCAGCGACGAATTAAAAAGATGTTAAATGTTGCTCGTTGAGACTTTTCGTTTCCACGCGGAGGCTCCTGCGACGCCCGTGTTTTTCTCAAGGAGCTTAAATGCAAAACAAATACAGCAAAGAAGCAACGAGCAGATCAAAAAGAATTTAAGAGCGCGGTCAACGGGACTAATTAAGAGTGTCCATCATCGCTTTTAATCTGAGCTGGACGTGTACACGACGCTATCTTTCATCTCCAGCTGAAGTAGACGCGCTGAGCAGCGGTGCGCTTGTACACTGTTCCGGTCATATTGTTTGTTTTCATCCCTCCTTGTTTTCTCAACACGACTTAGTGGGTTTAATTATTTCAAAATTCAAAACCTGCCGTGACAAAATGACTGCGGGCATGAAATAGAAAATCCCTCCGAATATTAGTGAAATTCCCAGAAATGTCGCACTGCTTCCTCACAAATTCAAAGATGAATGCTTTGCATAGCAATGAATAGCGAGTGTGTGTGTGTGTGTGTGTGTGTGTGTGGAATAAGGTGTCAAACTTGATTTCCTTTTGTTCCAGATGCTCCCTGGGCCATCCTGCTGGCCAATATTGAGCCGGAGTCCACAGCGGTGACGGTCAACGGCTTGATCCCGGCTCGCTCCTATCAGTTCCGCCTCTGTGCCGTTAATGATGTGGGGAAAGGGCAGTTCAGTAAGGAGACCGACCGGTGAGCAACAGGTTCTTCGTCTGTTCCTGCCATCCCATCAAAACAGCTTTGATTGTCCTTCTTGTCCTCCCAACACACACAAATACAAAACTCCCTCAGGTCTGACTGGTCTGGTCTCCGGTTACTGGTCCCACCAACATGTCCGGTGTTTGTTCTCTGGTTTATTTATTTTCCTTTTCCTTTAACTGGTTGAGGCAGATGGCCGCCCTCCCTGAGCCTGGTTCTGCTGGAAGTCCTTCCTGTCAGAAGAGAGTTCTTCCTCTCTTCTTGCTCACAGGGGATCTTTAGATGAATGGGGTTTTCTGTTTATAATTTTATCGGATCTTAATGTTAGTATTTACATCAGTCAGGTAAATTTGAAGAATAAATAATACTGTAGGGTCTTAACCTGAATTTTTAACCCTCTAAACCCCAAAACCTGCCAGTACTTTTTAGGAAACATGTTGTTTTTTAAAAAAATATCACTAAAATTACACAATTTATCATAAAAAATTATCTTAAAAATTAAAAACAAACTGTCAGATCTCATCTTTCCAACAGTTTTTCAACTGATCATCAGGGACATGCTGTTCCATCTGCAAAACTAATCAAATCTACACTTGAACTTGTGAAATTTTAACAAAATCCCTTTCGTCTGCGTGTCTCTTTTTTTTTTTAAATGGCAAAAATTAACCATTTTCTCAAAATCAGATTTTGTAAAAAGACAAAAAATTTGCACTTCTTGGCAGAACCATAAACCTATTAGTGACTCACCTGCGACGAACAGTCACATGACGATAATTTAAAGACTTTTTGGCTGAACTGCAGGCAGTGTGACAGTAGTGCTGTTATTAATAACACCTCTGGACACGTGGAACAATACATGTTGATTCCAAGGTGCAGGACTTTATAGGAAAGATTATACAAGCAGGGAACATGAACCCACAGTGAGTAGAGATGTGACAGGAAACACTTTGGGTTCATTCATCAGGCTAATTCGTATTTTAAATCTGATATTGTAGGGTTTTTAGTTTTTAAATTAGCCAGATAAATTCCCTCTATAACCCTAATATTAACACTTGTAGGGTAAATGTGTTGCGTCTATCTTCTTTCTATATTAGAAAGCACTTTGGCTCAACATCACTTGTTTGGAACGTGCTGTATAAATAGCGGCGACTTGATGTGGCTTGACTTTGGGGGTGGAAGCTCCGAGCCGCATCTTTCCATTCCAACATTTTAACGAATAATTTTATTGTAAGGAAACAGGCGTTCCCTCGACAAACCCGCCCGGGCGGCTGTGTTTTCTCAGCACACAATTTAAATCTCAGAAATGCCCCGAAACACGAATCGCAGCAGAACTTTGTGGTTGTTGGTAAACAGTGCACTGTGCTCGTGAAATCTGTTTCCTAGACAACCGGTTTGACTGATCCCTTCAGTCAAGAGTCGGTGAGGAGGGATACACGTGTAAGCCTAGCAAAGCGCACACGCACACAAACATGTACACGAGCACATGTAAACACACAAACACCCACTCGCTCTCACATCCCGAAAAAAAAAAAAGCCACAGGAGGGATTTAGGTTTGAGGCGAGATCGGGTTTGGCCTCTGCACGGCCTCACACGACTCGGAGCGCCCATTCCTCCCCTGTCCATCACCCTCCTCCCTCCCTGCCGCCTCCCCCCTCCCTCCATCAGTCTGTCACGGCGCCTCACGCTGCCAGCTCCCCAGCCAGAGGAAAGCCACGGGGAGCTCCGTCTGTGTGCTGCAGTGCGGCCAGCACAGAACTCCATGTGACTCCATTTGGTACTAAGTCACCGCCACTGATCTCACTCCCATCTTTCATACGCATCTTCTCCCCAGGCGCTCAGGCTTTCTTGTCAGGGTAAATATATGGCTCTTAGGCGGCTGGGACTTTCTCAGGTGAGGCATTATACGTACTTTGAGGTGCAAATCCACAAAAGAATCGCTTAGGGTGTGTAACAAAGGGAGCAAAATGGTAAGAAACAGCGAGAAAGACAAGGAAAAAAGAGCGTTTATAGTAAATTATGCATGCATTTAAATTGATATGCTTCATTTCAGCTGTTGTTTCTTTCAAAGCGCTATGTGTTTTCGCCTGAAATAAACTGAAGCCCCGCGCCGGTGATGATTTTCTTTCTTTTCCCCTTCTTCCTTTACATCTTCTTGTGTTCTGCAGTGTCTCTCTGCCAGAGGAGCCGCCCAGCGCTCCTCCTCAGAACGTCATCGCCAGCGGTCGGACCAACCAGTCCATCATGATCCAGTGGCAGCCGCCGCAGGAGAGCCACCAGAACGGCATCCTCAGGGGCTACACCGTCCGGTAAAAATCCACAGTGCATCCTCCACTTATACTGTTTCCTCGTCTTTATGTGAAAGGTTGGAATATAAGGGCAGTTTTGCTCCGCGGGTGGTAAAAGGAGGAACTTTACTTCCTTTGTAAATACTTAAAGGAAGTAATAGAGGTTGTCCATCCATCCATCCACTTTCTATACACTGTTGAATCCTCACTGGGGGGCTGGAGTCTATCCCAGCTGACTCAGGGTGAAGGCAGGTTCACCTGGACAGGTCACCAGTCTGTCACACTTAGAGACAGACAACCAAGCACACTCAGATTCACACCTACAGACAATTTAGAATCACCAATTAACCTCAACATGTTTCTGGACTGTGGGAGGAAGCTGGAGAACCCAGAGAGAACCCACGCTGCACGGGGAGAACATGCAAACCCCACGCAGAAAGGTGCCCTCACCGGGATGCAAACCGGCAACCTTCTAGCTGCGATGTGACGGTGCTAGCCACCGCTCCACCTTGCAGCAATCTCCAAATCACAGCATTTATCAGCAAAGAAAGCTTAAAAAAGAGAGAGAATCATCCGATTTTTATCTTTCCAACAGTCCTTGAACTACTCATGTGTGACGAGAAGAATATTTAATCAACCTCTAGCTGCGAAGTGACGGTGCTAACCACTGCGCCACCGTGCAGCCCGTTAATGCGATTGTGTCGTGTCATTGTTCCTGACTGGATTTGTGTCGTTGTGCACTTTCTATCTCATCAATTATGTAGGAATGTATAGGCAACATAAAAATCTATTGTATTGTGTAAGGAAACTGTAAAAAGCGTCGCTGTTACACAATGCACTTGATCCATGTGTTCAGCTTCACTGATGTCGGTGATGTCGCGGCGCCAAACCGCTGGAATTATCTCAGAGTGCGTTTCACTTCAAACAACAGCTTCGGTTAACACCACTGCATTTAAATCATGTTTTGAGAGAGAGAGACAGCTTAAAATGTAACAACTGCTTTGACTTCAAAAAGGCAAAACAACAACTAAAAAAAAAAAAAAACTTTAGCAACTCTAATAGGCAGAGTCAGCAATATGCCAAACTGACTGTAAATCCTGTAAACATGTAATTAGTTTGGTTTTTCTGTCAGGCTTTTTATTCATTACATCCAAATGAAACAGCAGGTGTTTTCCAGACAACAGTCAGTGCTTGTCAGTGGGTTTTAAGTGCTTGTTTGCTGGTGCTTTGTCTCCCCCTAGCAGGGATTATGGTGTACTGCTGGACTGTAAATGCACTAATGGAACAGCTAAGCTCCACAAACCACACCGTGAATCCAGTTCCTGATGCTCTGGATTGAAAGTTTGTGCATGTGCGTGTCAGGTACCGTCTCACCGGGCTGCCTGTCGACTACCAAATCAAGAACATTTCCAGCCCTGACGTGACCAACCTGCTGCTGGAAGACCTCATCATCTGGACCAACTATGAGATCGAGGTGGCTGCTTACAACGGGGCCGGTTTGGGAACCTTCAGCCATAAAGTCACCGAGTGGACTCTTCAGGGAGGTGAGTAGTCGGTGTTATTGATCAAAATTCATTATTAGTGAGCCTTCATGTGCAGTTGGGATCAAGACTTTACATAAGACCATGTCTATTATGGCAGTTTTGAGCTTCCAATGAATCCTATACCTCTTATTTTTCCATGGTGGAGTCATATTTCCATAAGAGCTTTAATAAATTTATGAAAAAAACCTAAATGCATGATTGTAATTTGTGACAAAGAGGCATGTGTTTCAGTGATTCCATGTTGAAGAAAGCTTGGATTCAGCATCTTCCAAATGCTTTTATACCACCAACAGAAATCCTCCAGCAGACCTCTGGTAGCCTCCGGTTTTATTTACTTCTGACCGAAATCGTCCACTAAAAGCCAGTGAGGCTGTTGTCCGACTACATTACCATGAACTCTTATTTGTAAGGAGCACGCAAAGGTGTGACATGTCTCTAAAATCCATAACTAGCTCACACACACTCACAAACAAACCCACAAAGAGCTGCTGTGTTGGGTGTAAGTGTCAGACGGAGAGTGATGGCAGCATCTGCCCTGACCTGTGCAGCAGCGATCAATAGTGACATCAAAATAGATGCAGGCCGACTTCTAGCAGTCAACCGAAAGGCGCTTCTCACACTCTTGTTTTTTCTTTTTTTTTTTGCCGTGCCGCTGCTTCTTTATTTTCCTTTTCTTCCACTCTGACTCCCTTTCTCCTTCCTCTCCTCATCCATCCCAGTGCCGACCATCGCTCCGGGTAACGTGCAGGCCGAGGCGGTCAACTCGACGACGATTCGTTTTACGTGGACAGCTCCCAACCCTCAGTTCATCAACGGCATCAACCAGGGCTACAAGGTCAGTAGGCGTCGCGGCGTTCTCGTCGTCCATTGACGGAACTGTCAGAGCTCAACTTGTAGTATCACATGACGGGGGAGAGAGAAGAAAGAAGCCCGGGGGCAAACGATATACGGTGCCAGTTTGAACAATGGACTTTGTTCGCCCATTTGTCAGTCGGAGGTCATTCTCTTTATCTTTACAACCATTTCTCATATGTTTTATTGGGAAGCTGCGTGCGCGTAATGATGAATGTCTTCATTATTTTGTCATGGGCTCTTGAATGTAGTTCATCTCGCTGTCTCTTGTGTATACCTCCGAATGTAGCCCACAGGGAACCACAAAGCCCCACGCATGGGATGCTTCTATTTTTTTTTTCTCTCCGTTAAGACTTAATTATGTCATTGGGACTCTTCTCTCTTTTTGTATTTCTGTTCAATGACGCCCCACGAGTCTTATGCAGCTCGGGGAAGGCTGGAGGGGTCACTGTACGAAGCCAATCTGAATTTTAAGCACCAGGTTTTTCCTCTAGTGTGAGACTGAAGAGGCAAGACGGGAGGCAGAGGAGGTGATAGGAAGTGCAGCAAAGAGAGGGGAAGAATAGGCAGAGGGAGGTATATATAGGAAAAATTGAGATGTGTGGCAGACAATCAAGCATTTATCCCTCTGACATCCCCTTGCCAACTTTCCTGGAAGCTCCCCGACTCGGAAAACTGGAAACAACCCAACGGACCAGCCATTGGGACTCATTACCTAAACAGCTAATTGGTCAGTCCAGGTCCCATTTGTAGATGCTATATGGTAAACGATGAGCGCGCATGATGGGATATTATTATGCCTCTCCAGAGCCCAAAAACTCTCTCCTCTTCGCCGAGCCTGTCGTAGCGGAGCTACTCAGCCATCTTCCCGCAGTCAAAACATCTTCAGGGCATTTTTCTGAATGTATTTGGGAGATGCTAAATAACTCCTCAGAGAGAGACACTACTGTTGGTTTTGTGAGAACTATTACAGAAATACTGGCTTCTTTATTTGGGTAATTTTTCTTCACAATCCCTTTCTTTTCTTTTTTTTTGTCTGTTGTTAGTTGCTGGCCTGGGAACCTGGCAAAGACGAAGAAGTTGCTATGGTAACAGTGCGACCGAACTTCCAGGACAGTGTCCATGTGGGATATGTGACAGGTCTGAAGAAGTTCACTGAGTATTACACCTCTGTGCTGTGCTTCACTACACCCGGAGACGGCCCCCGCAGCCCGCCTCGAGCATTAAGGACACATGAGGACAGTAAGTGACTTCTCTTCCACACTTCCCTCTCTCCTGTGGTGGCAAAGGGGGGACACAAGCGTCTCGCAATAACACATCCTTCGGGCAAGATCTATTATTCATGCAGAACCAAAGTTGTAGAGAAGTGCTAATGAATGACTATACTCAGCATCCAGCCAGGATCATCATAATTGGGACGTAGCTCCCATAGAGATTATTGGCCGAGCTTTAAAAACTCTTCATTTACTTGTAATCACATTTTTTTTCCGGCATTTACCTTGATTTTTTTTTAAACACATTTAAAGTCCAAATAGTCAAATGCAGAAGATTTATGGCTGCGTCCAGTTGCCAAGGTGGCTCGTTTTGTCCGTCGCTCTTGCTCATTATTCTTGTCCGTCCCTGTCCAGCGCCCGGTGCCGTGGGTCACCTGAGTTTCACAGAGATCCTGGACACCTCGCTCAAAGTCAGCTGGAGCGAGCCCAGCGAGAAGAACGGCGTCCTCACAGGTACACTCAACTCACTCCCAAATTATACTTTTGCAGCCAGGCAGGAGCGGGTGAGAAATGAGCAGTTTGCCCGAGGTGCTATTTGTCAGAGAGCTCCGGTGTGAGAGACCAGTCGCATGAGGCGGCGCTAAGGCAGAACTGGAAGAATTTCGTTCTGTGCTGTAACTACTTGACCTCATTTAGCGAGCTCAGCCCAGGAGAGCTGCATTATTGTTTGTTGTTTACTATATTTGGGTCATGCACTTGCTACAGCACAGACAAGACAACAAATATACCATTATGGCAGAGAGACAGAATCATGCAGCACCTTTACATTGCTAAAAAAACAAGAGCACTTTATCCTCTCTCACACTCTGCACATGATGTAGAATTGGCTGTTAATTTCCCTTAATTGCGCTCCTGAGACTCGCTCAGCAGGATGCTCGAGTGAGCGATGCTTCTGCGGGAGGTGGAGTCTGCTAAATGTGAAGGTTACTTACCTGAGTGTACCTACTTGCACCCGTTGCATCACCTTAATTACTTTCCTGAGACGTGCTGCCTGGACCCGGTGGGTGGTAGCGTGTTCTGAGGAGCCTACTTTCGATGGTTCAATCCCAGAGTCCCCAGTTAGATATATAGTCCTACTAAGGCTCCCGAGCAAATCTGACTTACTTGGGAAGCCCTTTCTCTTCATTCACATCCACTGACTACCCTCTCTAGCAGCTCTGAAGAGGTCTTTGACATCTCCTGAAGCAACCTCCATATCGACGTGGCCGCAAACCTTCCGCGGAGCACCTCAATCGGTTGGACCTCGCACCTGCTTGACCTCGCTTACTGAGCCCAGCGCAGGAGAGCTGCTCCTTTGTTTCTTGTTGTTTTTTTTTTTTTTTAATATCCACATACCACTGCTCAGGTCAGACACCAAGCTGCAGCAGTGAGACGCCACTTGTTGGAAAATACAGTAGCATCTCACATATAATAATACAATACCTGTTTCTGATCTCCTGAGCTCTGTGCATGGTTTGTTATGTAGCTGTTTATTGTGCCTTAATTGCACTCCTGAGACTTGCTGCTTGGATTCTGCAGGATGTCCCAGTGAGTGCTGCTTCTAGGGGAGGTGCAGTCTGCTAAATGTAGAGGTTGCTTACCTGGACCTAGCTGCATTGAAGTCACCCTTTGTAGAGAAGTTTGCAAGAGATTTGTGTGGCTTAAGATTCCCAGTAGGTCTTTAATGTCGGTGTAGCGGTTGCTATACCTGAATTACTTACTTTAGACATGTCTTGTTTATTTTTTTTGGTCATTTTGTCTCTATTTATGGTCATTTTGTGTGTCTTTGTGGTGGTTTTGTGTCTTTCTGTGGTAGTTTTATGTCTCGCTATAGTGGTTTTGTGTCTCTTTATAGTAGCTTTGTGTCCATTTTTGGTTGTTTTGTGTATTTTGGTGGTCATCTTGTGTCTCTCTGTGNTTTTTGGTTGTTTTGTGTATTTTGGTGGTCATCTTGTGTCTCTCTGTGGTGGTTTTGTGTCTCTTTATAGTAGCTTTGTGTCCATTTTTGGTTGTGTTGCGTATTTCGGTGGTCATCTTGTGTCTCTGTGATGGTTTTGTGTCTCTTTCGTAGTTTTTCTCTCTTTGTGGTCATTTTCTGTCAATTTATGTTGACTTTGTGTCCCTTTATGGTGCTTCTGGTGTCTCTGTGGTCATTTTTCCTATGTGGTGTTATTTTTTGTCTGAACAACAACACCTCCACAAGCTTCAGCAGCATCTCAGGCTCGCCACCTCGATGCCATTCACTCATTTGGGAGTCCAGGCTGAGCCCTTTCTCTTCACCCACCGTCAACAGCGACCCTCCTCAGCAGCTCTGGAGACGTCTCTAACTGCTCGTAGTCTGCCTTTTCCTCGCACTCCCATCTCCCTGAGTGGCCTTGATGTTGATTTGGCTACAAGCAAACCCTCTGCAGACCTACTCGGACCTTGCAACTGCTTGACCTCATTTAGCGAGCCTGGCACAGGAGAGCGGCTCTCTTGTTTGTTGCACTGCTCCGGCCAAACACAATAATATACCGCTGCAGCAGTGAGACAACACTTGTTAGAAAATAATACATCTTACATGAAATATTACACTGCAAAAAAAAAAAAAAAAGAACATTGTCTCCTCTCCTAAGCTGTGCACAAAAAGGCTCCCTTGCTACACCATTACTCAAGCCTTTTGTAATCATAGAAGAAGCAGAAATGAAGTTGTGCACAGTATGGTGATATAGGGGTGGAAGTTATAGCCCTTAAATTATTATGGATCTTAAAGAGCAATAAAGCACGGTAAAAGCTGTTTCCCATCAGGTAGATTATTAAACTCGGTTGCTATCATTGGTCACTGCACAAAGAGATATTTGGCTTTTGGTTAAATTAAATCCTAATAAGTATTATCAGACAATGCAGTCTGAACACAACACAAGCAATGTGGGTTTTTGTATCATACATCCACACACCATCTGTCCTTACACATAAGGACTAATTTGTTATGAAGATTATTCTGTAATGTTATACTTTAATCCACTCTGGCAAATAAAGTAAGTATGTTAGGAGATATGTGTGCAAAGTAAACATTTCATTTCAGGGACTGCTTTATGCAAAATGCGCTAATTAAAGATGTTTCTGGCGCAATTCACGTTGTGCTTTGTTGTGTTCAAACTCGTAGTAAAGAACACATGCCAAACAATGATATTAATATTTCAATGTTTACAGAGGTTAAGATTTAGCAGCGTATTGTAAAGTGTTTTTCCATTTTAATGCGCTGCACACTCCCAGGAGACAAACACTGACATGCCATGTGAAATTATTGATTTGGCAAGAAATGCTGCTTAATGCTTTATGCAATCACATGAAAAGAGCTGCTGGCCAAGGAGCAAATTGCATTAACTTTGAGAGGGTGAGCATGTGTGTGCGCGCGAGTGTGTGTTTGTGTGCGCACGGGAGTGGGCGGAGGATGTGTGAGTGCAGGGAGGTATAATCACAGGCTGATTTAATTTGCTATATTCAATTTTTGATGAAGTTAATTTAATATTTCTGTTAGCTTGCCCCGTAGCATACGAGCTGAGAGTCGCTATTGTAGTAAAGCTGCTGTCAGATTTTCCCTGAGAGGGTTCTCTGTCCGTCCGTCTGTCTGTCTGTTAACCCGTCCCTGCCTCTCTGCAGGTTACCGCATATCGTGGGAGGAGTACAACCGGACCAACACCAGAGTCACCCACTACATGCCGAATGTCACCTTAGAGTACAGGGTCACCGGACTCACCGCCCTCACCACCTACACCATTGAAGTGGCGGGAATGACCTCCAAGGGCCAGGGCCAGCTCTCTTCATCCACAATTTCCTCTGGCGTCCCACCAGGTCAGTAACCGAATAACCCGTCCTAATAATTACAAGCCAGTGTACGCCAGTTACAAAAAATGTTCTCACATGCGCCTTGTGTTGTGAAGCAGTAGTTTGAAAATTCCATCTCTAAGACGTCAACGTCCACCTGCGTTTATGAGAATGAACTGAACTTCAGCTGTGGTTCTCAAAACGCTGCAACTTTGAAACTGAGTTGTAAGTCAATGGCCAATGTCAAGGTGTGGGACGTGTTAGACAGCAAGTGAGCAATCATATGTTGAACTCTACGAATAGACGCAAGAAAAACAGGAAAGTGTAAAGATCTAAGCAACTCTGACAAAAGCCAAGTTGTGTTGGGTCAGGGTGTCTCGAAAACAGCAGATCTTGTTGGGTGTTCTTGGTATACATTGGTTGGCATCTGTCAGAAGAGGTCCAAAGAAGGACAAGCAGGGAGCCGGTGGTCCTTCAAGGTTCACTGATGTACATGAGGAATGGTGGCTGGTTTATGAGGTCCAATCACATCACAGCTTGCTGTACGTTGGGCTAAATAGCCACAGACTAGCTAGAGGCTCCATGTAGGCACCTATGATGGGCACATAAGAACTGGACCGTGGACCAATAAAAAAAAAAGGTAGCCCGATGTGATGAATCAGTTTTTCAGGGTGCGTTTTGTGAAGGAGGCAAGCCGGCAGAGGCAGTTTGATGTTTTAGGGTCCCAGCACTGATGTGGGGTCACCATAACATGAACCACCTACCTAAACATTGTTGTGGGCGTGTACACCTCCTCATGGCAATGGTGGTCTTTTAGCAGGATATTAAGCACTGCCACATGACAAAAATTGTTTTGGATGTGATTTGAGAGATATGTCAGAGAGTTTGAGTAAGTTGACCTCCAAAGTTCCAAGATTGCAGTCCCATCAAGCACCTATGAAAATGGAGGCCCCACCAGGGATGGTTGAGGAACATGACAAAGAGGTGCTGACGTGTCCTCCACATTCACCAGATTTCACTTTGTCTGATCCATGGAGGCCCCACTTCATAACAATGTGATAATGGCATGGACCTTTTTCAGCGGGATAATGCGCCTTTCCAACTGCAGTCATTGTTCAGGAATGGATTGAGGAGCATGACCAAGAGCTCAAGGTGTTGACTTCCAAAGTCCCCAGATCTCAGTCAGATCAAGCATCTCTAAGGTGTATTCCAAAGAGTCCATTCCATATAGGCCCTACCTTACAATTTCTAGAACTTAAAGGATCTGCTGCTAACGTTTCGGTTCTGTGGTGAACCTTCAGAGCTCTTTAGATGCTGGATCACACGGTGTCTTTATTCAGACCTGCCTCCTAAACGCCCCCCTTTTCACCATCCACATCTCCAGTTTGTACCACAGGCTTTCTATTAAATGTTTCAAATCTCATCTGCCGACATCACCGGTGTTAATTTTTCAGTATTGCCAAAGCCTCCTTTAGAGCAGCAGAAAACATTATACGACTGTGTTCGGAGGCTGAGTAGCTCTCATTAAATGTAAACTGACAGTGGAGTGCCCCTTGAAGAAATGCTCTGATCACACTGTGTTCTGTGGATCCTCTAGAGTGACGGTGACATGTTGTGAAAGTAAATGAGCATATGCTTTACATGGCACCGCTAAAAAGCAAATGTTGTGGAGGGGGGGAGGAATCCCATTTCAAAATACAGCACCATGGGAAAAGTCAACCTTCATCTGTATTGTTGACATTCTCAAGCAATGCACTCCTTCACTTAACAGCCATAAATCTTTTACCAGGCTCAATTAATTCTCAAGGCAAACTTGTCGAGTTTCTCTAACTACTCAAATCCAGAAAACAGCTGGGGACCTTTATTGAACCTTTCACATGCTGTAAATTTACTGTTTCACGTTGAACTGCGGTGCCGTCTGGCGCCAGACACAATGAAATCTGACCCCGGTCACCTCATCCGGAGGGGAGAACCAGAGCAAAAAATAAATAAATAAATAAATAAACGCTCCAAGCAATGCGCATATCAGCCCCACATCCACCAAATAATAGCTCCCGCGAGAGCATTAAGGACAATTACAGTGTTTAATGATTTCATATTTGCAAAACTGGGTAACAGAAACACAATGCCCACATCAATTACAAGCGCCTGCATTCGGAGCCTGTACATCTGTGAAACCTGCGAGATGACAGCCTGTTATATTGAGAGCGGGCTTTAGTGCAGCAGTTATGGTCCCCAGAATGGCAATTACTGCCATTGTATATGTGTAAAGAAAACGCCCGAGCCTTGCGACTGTACCGCCGCGATCCCCGCTAGAAGCAGCCCCGATAATCAGTCATGCAAATAATTTAGAGGTGGTAATTTCACCGCGACACATGTAATCTGCATTTCATTAGGACTGAATACATCCGCATTTGAGCAATTTTTTTAGGCGGGGGGGGGCTGGATGTGCTCAGTGTGCCCATGGGAGTGATTATATCTTTTTAATATTAGGCCACTCCAATGTGCCACAGTCTGAGGTTAATGTGTCCAACTAGGATTCAGGTAAACCGCAGTGTTTTGGATTTAGGATGTGGCATGAGGGAGGGGGAGAGAAAAACAGATAAAGCTTGAATTAATTAGTTTTTGCACACATTTGCATACATACCTGCCTAGAAACACAAAAACATTCATATTCATATACACACAAAAATGCCCCTCCTGCTGTTCTTTGAATTCACCGTTTTCACTTTTGTTTCCCCCCTCCAGGATTACAACTGAATAATCCGATCCTCATTGTCTTTTTTTTTTTTCCAGCTCGAGTGTAAACAAGTAGGATATCAAGATTGAATCGTATCTCCAGATAACTGCAGCGTAATTGACATTCATGGCATTGTCTCCATCTGTGTACTGTGCACGAGCAGCCTTCTCCGAATCTTATCTGCTTTTGCTGAAGTTGGGGAGTGCAACGGAGGAGACAGTGAGACGAGATTAGATGGAAAAACTTCTGCCTGTGTGCGGTATCTGTGCCGCCACAAGAGGGCGCTGTGGTAGATGGATTCTCCCGAGCGAAGCCCAAAAAGCAGAAGTGCCCTGTGTGAGGAGCAGCCAGGGGAAATACATCTGTAGTAGTGGGTAGTAGTCGATTTTTGACTCTTTGCTCTTTCTTCACAGAGCTGCCCGGTCCTCCTACCAACATGGCAATCTCCAACATCGGCCCACGCTCCGTCACCCTGCAGTTTAAACCTGGATATGATGGCAAAACTTCCATTTCCCGTTGGCTGGTGGAGGCCCAGGTGAGGCAGAACCAGAACTGAAGCACCAAAGATGTGATGTTGTTTTCCACAATCGTCAAATAAAAACTGATCTTGCTCCTAGGTGGGCGTGGTGGGAGAAAACGAGGACTGGGTGATGGTCCACCAGGTGTCCAACGAACCCGAGGCTCGATCCTTAGAGGTGCCCGGTCTCAACCCGTACACCTTTTACAGGTACATCTAATGAAACACACCGTAAAGCAGAACATATGTCCACATTTGATCTGCTTTCACTCTTTGCGTGGTGGTGCTGGTATTGTGCAGGAAGCGTTCATCCGCAGCATATTGCATGAATACAACCCTAACCCTGACCCCACATAGCAGAGCAGTTTTATTAAGTGGGACCTGGCTCATGTTTTTCCAAGTTTATTCGAGGCAAGCTGGTGCAGATTGTGATAAACAACAGATAAGGTGTATGCGTGCTTCAGCATCTCACCTAATTTCAGCACATCCCAGGAGCTTATCTTTCTCTGTTTTCCTTGTATTTGGATGTGAGATTGTTTGTGGTTAGCGCGATGTTACATTTTTTATTTTTTTTCCCAGCGTGTGCACGATCTTTATCTCGTCTGCTTATTTTCCGTGATCGCGTCCAATATAACCAATTAACATTTCACTGAGCCGGTTCCCCGAAGAGCACGCAGCAGCTATAGTTCTCATCATCCCGACATCACTGCTGCCACTTTACATTTCACTAAAGTTAAATGCAAAAAAAATTTGAGTTGTTTTGCATATTCAGGCTGTAATGCAAAAAAGAAAAAAAAGCTCTCCTTTCAGCATATTCATATTCGGTGCTGTGATCTTGTTCAAATGCAATAAGCCTCGTGTAAGAGGATGCGAGTGTTGCAGTAATGCTGATGATTCTGAGTTCGTTTCGAGCTGCCAGGTTCTGAGTTGTCATTTCAGCTGAACTCAAGCAGGCATTCTCCAGATTGTAATAATAACCCGACACATAGAATTTGAATAAAATATCAAAACAAAGCTCGCTCATCGGGGATTTCATGGAATCCTTTGATTTTTTTTTTTTTATGTATATTTTTGTAGGGTCAAAACTTCAGCTCCGCATTCGGCAGGTTAATCTGCATAATTACTGATGCTGGAGGGGATCAGCTCTAATATTTACATTAGTTAGCTTAGATTCTGCCGTTTATAATACTGTAGGGTCTCATCTACAGCATCTCATTACAGCTGTTATAGTCAGGAAAAGTAGTGTTTCATATCATTTTTGTTGGGTTTTAATCCCTCATGTGAAGATTACTGATTTAAAATCACACCACAGGGCTTTAACCCCAATATGTAAACTTGTTAGGTTAAACTGTAGCTTCAATCATAATCTGTTTTTTTACTAGAAAGCACTTTGGTGCAACAGCTGTTCTTTTAACTGTGCTGTCTTCAAAGCAATGACTGGGACCGCCGCGATAGCTCAACTGGTTGAGCTGGTGGCCCATGTGCAGGGTCTATAGTCCCCGACACAGCGGTCATGGGTTCAAATCCAGCCCATGACCATTTGCTGCAGGTCCTTCCCCCATTCTTTGCCCCACTTTCCCTGTCTCATTCTCTACTGTCCTGTCAAATAAAGGCCAAGACCAAAAAATAGCTTGAAAAAAAAAGCAACGACTTGACTCGACTTGTTTGAATCCAAACTCCAGGTTCCGCATGCGTCAGGTGAACATCGTGGGCACCAGTCCTCCCAGTCAGCCCTCCAGGAAGATCCAGACCCTCCCGGCTCCTCCTGACATGGCCCCGGCCAACGTCACCCTGCGCACCGCCAGCGAGACCAGCCTCTGGCTACGATGGATGGTGAGCAGGAGCCGTCTTGTCACGTGGAAAAAAACAAAACAACCTGAATCAGAAGACCTGTTGTGATGCACCTTTTCCACTCCATTCTTGTTTTCAGCCTCTGCCTGAGTGGGAGTACAACGGGAATGCAGAGCAGGTGGGCTACAGGGTCCAGTACTCCCGCGCAGGCTCGCAGGGCCGAGCGCTGATCCACGTTATCGCCGACCGCCTGGAGAGAGAGTTTACTATCGAGGACCTGGAGGAGTGGACCGAGTACGAGGTCAGGGTCCAGGCTGTCAACGGCATCGGGATCGGACCCTGGAGCCAGCCGGTCAGAGGCAGGACCAGGGAGTCTGGTGAGTTAGCAAATGAAGCAGAAACGCTTCGTACCTACACCTGGACCACTTCTGCAACAGCATCTGTGCAGAATATCTTCAATATTAGTCACATTAGAGGTAACAAACCCTCTGTATGCGTTAAACTTAGGCGCCATATGCTAAACGCGGCAGCAGATTGTTTCCTGCTCCGACGCGCCGCTCGAGCCTTTTTACCAGCCCACCTCAATTTAGACAAAGACGTGCTTTTCCCTCCTTCGCTTCTGCTTTCATATCGCACAGCAGACGCTGGGCAGAGAGGAATGGAAGGGAGCTGAAGGAAGGAAATTGAGAACACATGGACTCAAATGTGGAATTCCTGTGCTCTTATTTTTTTTCCACACACTCCAGCAAATTCTCAGGAATCAGGCATTATGTCCAAGGATGAGTGCCAAAGAGAAGAAGAGCCCTATTCTTGAGTTTTATAAGGGTTGGGGGGAGGTTTCAGCAGCCCTAAAGAATATAAGGGAGCTGTGTGCATCTGCAAAGAGCTGATTGGTCACGCTGCTTTTCTGTTGTACATCCACGTGAATACACTCACAGGGAGAACATTTTGTCAGAATGTACAGAAAACACCTCTCTTTGTTTTTGCAGTCCCCTCCAGTGGACCCACCAACGTGTCCGCCTTCGCCACCACCTCCAGCAGCATCCTGGTGCGCTGGTTTGAAGTCCCAGAGCCGGACAGGAACGGTCTCATTCTGGGCTACAAGGTCGGCTTCTTTACTTAAAAATGCTTCACAGCTATTCACCGTTTATTTACAAGACCTCTAATTAGTTTGTCGAAATGTCAGCTATCTAAAAGCAGCATGGTGGCAGTTTACGAGTCCAGATTCAACCCCCCTTCTTGTCTCCTCTCCGGATCAGGTGGTGTATAAAGAGAAGGACTCTGACAGCGCCGTTCACTTCTGGATGGTGGAGGGAAACGCCACCCACAGCGTCCAGCTGACCGGTTTGGGGAAATATGTGCTGTACGAGATCCAGGTTCTGGCCTTCACCAGGATCGGAGATGGACGGCCAAGTTCTCCGCCCATCCTGGAGAGGACTTTGGATGATGGTAACGACGGAGAAGCATTGAGCAATATATTTATATGAACGTGAACGCGAGGAGTTTCAGAATAATTTCTCTATAAAATTACATAAAAGACAAAAAAATAAATGTAGTTTTTTAAATGTATTTCTAGTCTAAGAGCCTTAACCAACTGAACCCCTTGTTTTTTTTTTTGTTTCTGTCATATTTTTGCTCCCTGTGGGCTCATTATCTCTGCACTATGAAGTCCTGCACCTCTGTAGAATCAGCACAACCACGGCTAGAAGTAGAGAGAACTCAAAAAGATCGTCCATACAGTATAACACAGATATAATGCCATGATTCACAAAAAAAAGAAAATACAAACGTTGAATTTCTTTAATAATTTATTATACAAAATAAAAACCAGAATCAACATGTACAACTTTTTTCCAAGTCCCCACTGGTTTTGCCATTACAAGAAGAAATGGCGACTCTATTGTACATACTATTGATATTTAACTATTTCCATGTTTCATTTGTTTTCATACTACCTGCTCTGTGCAAACACTGCCTGCAGTTCAGCCCAGTTCAGCCGAAAAGTCCCAGAATTTTTGTCATGTGACTTTTGCTCACAGCTGAGTCACTGATAACTCCACAGTTGCAGTGAAGAAAGCAGAATTTTTTGTTTTTTACAGAATCTAGTAAATGCAAAGAGTTTATTTTTGCCAATTTTTTTAAACAACTGAACCACAGCTCACATGTGATTAGTCCAACGACTGTCAGGAAGTTGAAAATACGACGGTTCCTGCTTCTGTAGTTTTGGCAATTTTTGCTTTTTTCTTATTTATATGTACATTTTTTCTGTCGAGTATGTGTGTAACTCTATGTGTAAAGCTGCTGACAACAATGTGAATTTCTCCACTGCGAGATAAATAAAAGCATATCTTATCTTATCTTTTAAACTTGCTGGCCGGTTTGGGGCTTTAGAGGTTGAAGGGTGATGTTACAGATGTACTTAAATGCTGAGATATAGTTCCAAATGATTCTAGTGCCTCTATCACAACGTTGTCCGTTGCTTCCCTGCAGTTCCAGGACCTCCGGTGGGCATCCTGTTCCCTGAAGTGCGAACCACCTCAGTGCGACTCATCTGGCAGTCGCCCGCCCAGCCCAACGGCATCATCCTCGGTTAGCAACACGCACACAATCCCCTCCTGTTTGGAAACATCTCATAATATTTCTTACGTCTGTGTCAGTTTTTGTTTTAGTATAAAAGCAGCACCATTAGCAAACAACTTTCCAAACGCTGCAAAAAACAGATTTCTTTCCTTAAATGCGGCGCAGCATCAGGCCCACAGATGTAGCTCCTGATGACTCCCAACGTACTTTTGTAACGTTTTTTTGTTTTGTTTTGTTTTTTTTAAATGGACGAGGCGATATTCGTTGTGGGAAATCAAATCTTGTTATTTTCCGGCATGGCAGTAAAGGGAGTATGGATTCCCTTGTTAGCTAATTGGGGATTTCCTCGTGAGCGTTTGATTCATTACACATCTGTCGGATAATTTAGCTTAAACCGAACAGTCAGTGTGACAGACCCACACAGTAGCAGGCGGGAGCAGATGCTGCTGGAATCGTGTCAGAGGAGACAAAGCTGTGTTGTAGCACAGCTTGATTTCCTCTTATTGTTAGAACACAAACAACACATGCTTCGAATGGGGAAAATACATGTTTCAGCCTCGATTTAATTCAGCTCCCTCTGACGGTTCCACTAAGGCTGTTTGTCTTTTTTTTTTCTTCTTCCTTCCCCCTGCAGCCTACCAGATCACGTACCACCTCAACTCCACCAACAGCAACACGGCCACGGTGGACGTGCTGAACCCCAGCGCTCGCCAGTACACCGTCACCGGCCTCAAGCCGGAGTCCGTCTACGTGTTTCGCATCACGGCGCAGACGAGGAAGGGCTGGGGCGAAGCGGCCGAGGCGCTGGTGGTAACCACGGAGAAGAGAGGTAAACTTGTGGAAGAGGATTTAACGTGCAAAATGAAATCCAAAAAAACACGCCGATGCTGTTTTTCAAAATGAAGGCAACAGGAAAACGCCGTAAAACTAATGCCGTGAGCAGGTGTGTGATCGCGGTAATGACACCACTTGTAGCGAGCTGTGCAAAGCCTTCATGGCACTTAGTTCATCTCCAGTTAACAGTTCAGTAAGCAGATGTGTTTTCTAAAGGAGTGTTTGTGCCCTGTGGGTATTTATTGGAAGCACTCTGATGGAGTTGCGGGAACGAAAACAGTCCATCTGCTTCCCTCAAGGCATGTTGTGGATTGTTTACTCTGCATCTTTCATTTCTCGGCTACTTTTCATTCCATCATCATCAGATTTTTTTTTTATTTTCCTTCTCTGTGCATCGCAGCTTATGCAAATGTAAGAAGATGAACAGGAGTGCTTTTTGTGTCATTTGTCACATGCTGTAATTTACACTCGCTTCCAACCCTTCTGCTCCCTAATGTCTCGTTTTCTTTTCCTCCTGGTTCTCTCTTCAGCTCGTCCCCAGCCCACCAGCCGTCCCATGGTCCCTCAGAAAGACGTCCACGCCCGCCAGGTGTTGCTGTCGTGGGAGCCGGGCAGCGACGGCCTGTCCCCGGTGCGCTACTACACGGTGCAGCAGAGAGAGCTTCCGGAGAGCAACTGGACTGTCCACTCTGCGTCGGTCAACCACGAGGCGTCCTCCTACATCGTGTCAAGGTAGCTGCTTCCGCTTACAACTTTTTATGGCGACAGATGTTTTCCTGTTTGCTCCCATTAGATGCAAAGCGAGGCAATAAATGGAAAAAACTCTGTCCTCTCCCCACTGATACATTCATTTAAATATTCCCTCAGCTGTAGTAAAGCTGACAAATCGGATCCTTCTATAGAATAAAGTTTCCGAGGCCTGGAACAATGCAAAGAAATCTGACGAATGGGGAGATGTTTTTAAAACCCAGCAGCCGACACAATGAGCTCTTTCTGTTTTGATGGATGCGGCTTAAGTTTTAGGATCGGTTGCTGCAGTTTGTCATCGAGATTGATGCGCTTTTTTCTGCTTTTTTTTTTTTTACCCCAAAGGCTGAAGCCCTTCACGTCGTACCAGTTCAGAGTAAAGGCCACCAATGACATCGGGGACAGTGAGTACAGTGAGGAGAGCGAAGCGATCACGACTCTGCAGGACGGTAAGGAGCAAATATCTTTATTCTCTTTATTTATGGTGTTTGATGAGTAAATTATCTTGATGCTATGGTGCTTTTTGTTTGTTTTCTTGCCAAGATGTAGATTTGAAGTTTGATAAAATGCACAAATCTGTATGCAGATATGCTAAGCTAGCTTAGCATAAAGGCCAGTGTGAAGTTGGAAACAGCTTCCTTGGCTCGGATGGTAAAAAATCCACCTGTAAGCATCCATCAGCATTGGGGCGGCTGTGGCCCAGGTGGTAGAGCGAGTCGGTCGGTGATCGGAAGGTCGGCGGTTCGATTCCGCCCTGTAACCTGTTTCATGGTCGTTGTGTCCTTGGGCAAGACACTTCACCACCTTGCCTGGTGTGAATGCGTATGAATGGATTGTTTGAGGTGGTGGTCGGAGGGGCAGAATGGCAGCCATGCCTCTGTCAGTCTGCCCCAGGGCAGCTGTGGCTACAATCGTAGCTACCAGCACCAGAATGAATGTGTGTGAATGAAAAATTGACAGTGTGTAAAGCGTCTTTGAGTGTCTAGAAAAGCGCTATATAAATCTGATCAATTATTGTTATTATTTTTATTATCAACCACAACATTTTATAGATCCGACCCATTGGGCCACTGGACCCACTGGAGGTGTCTTGTTGTGTCTCGCATTGCAACACTGGCAGCTTTTCCTCAATAGATCAGGCTTGTTCCATTCTCATGAATATCCGAACAGATTGAGATCTGTGGAGTTTGGAGGGCAGTTGCAGTAGCTCGAGCTGTTCCTGAGCGCTTCTCGTGGCGTGGTCGGGTTCTGCATTCTGCTGCGTGGGGTGTGCTTTGGTCTGCAGCTCTGCCTACGTGGGTGGTGGTACGAGTCAAAATAACACCCACATGAATGCCAGGACCCAAGATTTCCCAGCAGAACGTTGCATTTTAACAGGATGAGCAATGCGATCCCCCTCACCTGCCTGTGGTTTCGGTGTTGTGGCTGATCGGTGTGCACCATATCGACACCATCTCAGTTACGTCCAGGTCTGTTTGTTGGCGAGTGCAGTGGCTTTATGGAGACAAACTCACAGTGTTGCTTTAGTAAGTAAAACGAAATGGTTACAAACACAGAATAAGCATTTTCCCACAATGTTAAGCTATTTCTTTGAAATATTAAGCTATTATGTGCGGCGTGTTTACAACGACTCTGATGTGCTGTGTGTATATAATGTAGGCATTTATAGGTGCAGTATTAACACTAGAGTGGAAACAAAAGTAAAAGCCCGAGGTATGACTTCGTCCTCTGTCATGATGAAAAGACTCTCAGTGAATTAGCCCATTGTTGTAAAGCAGACGCTGCTGGCAAAGGAAGCAGGTGATGTCACATGTGAGACAAGAGGCTAAAACCTTGGCAAAAAGAACAAAAGTCTTCGCCGGTGGTGCTCTAACCAACTAAAGACATGTTCCTGCGCTGATCTTTCCCCACTGCTGTTTCTGACTCATCCGTCAACGGCTCCTCTGTTGTGTGTTTATGCTCCATGAATGCCACCGCACACCATTCAGCGTCGTCAATTGTGCACATTTTCAGGTCAATTTAGCTAATTTATCTCCCCTTTTTTTTTTACTGCCTCAGCGCCCGACGAAGCGCCCACAATCCTCTCCGTCACGCCGCACACCACGACGTCGGTGCTGATCCGCTGGCAGGTAAGAGCGCACGGCGGTCACTGCATGCAAAACAAAAGACACCATTTAAGTCTTGAGAAAGTGGCGTCTAATGAGAGGCCGTGACGGTTCGCGCCGAGGCCTGTACTTACAGACCGGCTTTCACACACACAGCCTGCACTCTGTCTAATAAAAAACACCCTCTCCCACACTCACACCTGAATTAACAGGTCATAAAGAGGAAAAACAGGAGGCTCGGAGACACAGTTTTACTTTTATGGAGAGAACACTTGTAGAGTTTATGAGGATAGAGCGGTACTTGTTTTTTACTCCCCTTCTCCCCTCTGGGCTTGCTCTCTCATGTTCAACCGACGGGGGGGGATTTTTCTGCATTACTCAACCTGTGGATGAGCTCATGTTGAGATTTTTTTGTTGTTGTAGTCTCTTCGTTGATGATAAGACAGTTGAAATCAGCTATTTAGACCTTATTAAACCTGAAATACTGGTCTATTCTGGCTTTTTTACACTTATACTGTATACTGTATATATATAACTTATCTTATTTTATACTTAAATCTCTTCTATTTTTTATTTTTTTTGCTCTTTATTTTGTGCTTTATTCTATATTGCACTGAAGGAGCTGCTCTTAATCTCATTGTACATGTGTATAGTGACAATAAAGGCATTCTTTTCTATTCTATTCTTCTATTTTTCTGACGCTCCACACCTAAACTCCACATTTCTTTCCGTCCACAGCCCCCCTCTGAGGAGAAAATCAATGGAATCTTACTGGGCTTTCGGATCCGATACCGCGAGCTGCTGTACGACCGTCTCCGCAGTTACATCCATACGGTCAGCAGTGCGTCCACCTGGGCCGAGCTCACCGGTGAGGAATAACTGCTGCGAACACATTACGCCGCCACCACCCGCACTATTCGATCCCCAATCATTTCCATTTAGAGTCAGCGCCTTTTGCGTTTATTGTGCCGTGCGATCTGAAACGCTGCGTTATGAATGTAAAGAACCACAACGGGCCTTAAAGAAGCACAGAAATTGCAAAAAAAAATAAATCAAAATTAATTCGGCAAAAAGTGTAAGAAAGAAAAAAAAACTGCCGCGTCTGCACTTTGCTTCACATTGGAAGAATTTCTAAGACTCGGCCGCGCTTGATTAGTCCTGTGCAGTCTTTATGTGTCAGCAGCACTATTATTTCCATTAGAGGCAAACTTTCACACTGGCCTATTCTGTTGCCAAGATCTCCCCACTGGTCCTGACACTTCGCAGCAAAACATTTCATCTTGTGATCGGTGGTTATCAGCTGCAGGCTATTATTAGGTTTACTCAGGAGCCACTCTGTTTCTACTGCTCTGTGCAACTTGGCCTATAATTTTACTCTTGTCGAGTCATTCTGCAGCTATGATCACTGTGATTGTGTGGGTTTTTTTCCCCCCCTTTTTTTTTTTTTTTTATGACAATACCGCTGCCCTTCTCGACAGCGAAAATATTACACTTTGAACCCTTAATACTGTTGTCGGTCCGCTACCTCCCTCTCATTTCGCCTTCTTTTATCGCTTTTTCCTCTTCCTGCCTCCCAGCCCCCTACAGCATCCGAAACCTGAGCGACGCGACGCTCGCGCAGTACGAGTTGGACAGTAAGTTTTTTTGTCTCCACAAAAATACACACAAATGCAATCCCCAAACAAATTAGATTTTTAAAAAAACAAAAAGAAGCTTCCTTTTTTTTTCCCTCTTGGATCTCACCATATGTCTCAAGTACCCCCGCTGCCTTGAATAGCGGTACAGGAAAAGCGAGAGTGTCAAGGAAATTAACACAACATTTGGCTGCTTATAATCACATTGCATTGGTACAAACATGTCTACCGAGGCCAGTGGAGCGCTTTGTACACAGAAATTCTTGGACACTGAGTACACAAGCCCGCCTAGTCCAACACACTCTTTCGGTTTGCACATGTCAGCTTATTTGGACGAGCACTACAAAAGCAGATGGTCGCATATTTTTCCCGGTACCTCCATGCTGCGGCGTTCAACAACCTCATAATTATAATGTCCCTGTATGAATTTGTGATTGAAATGAAAATGTCTTCTCAGGGCAAAAATGATTTACAGTAAAAGAAAACTGGTAGTGAATCCTGGTTGTCTTGTATGGGTTGGTGGGAAGCCAGTGAGGGATCACGTCTTTATTATTCCACTATCTACTGCAGATACTACTATCAGATGACCTCCAGGCCTTGCGGATAGGAAAATTGGATGTTCCAAACTGGGGATTTACAGTTTAAGTCATAACACCAGTGTTTAATATAACTCCAAACCCTGTATCCCCCATTGTTTACTTCTGCTGCAGAGCTCAGTAAACACAAGCGCTACGAGATCCGCATGAGTGTGTACAACGCTGTGGGCGAGGGTCCAACCAGCCCGCCACAGGAGGTGTTCGTCGGAGAAGCAGGTACGTGCGCTCTCCAGTATTTATAAACTTACTTCTCAACCCGCTTTGCAAGTGGATTAGTCTCCTGTCTGTTGAAGTGATGTCATTTGGAGGCATGCTCGGATTTTGGGTGTAATTTGTCTTTCTGTAAGCCCAGGGCTTTTCTGTTGAGGATGAAAAGTTTTCTGCTTCAACCCTCTGAATCCCAAAACCTGCCAGGGGGGGGTGTTTGAAAGGCATGTGATCTCTAAAAATCTGTAAAAACACCAAAATTACATCATTTATCAGAGCCAGGATGTGTAATAACTGAAGGAATCCTTGGATTTTTCGACTTTTTGGATCAACTGTGATGTGCTGTTCCATCAGAAAACCCAAATCTAACTTGAATATTGTGGTGTTTCACTAAAATCACTTAAAAAAAATCCTCAAACATAAATTGCTTGCTGTAAACAGATTCTGTAAATAAAAAAAATACAAAACATGATGAGCTCCTTGGCGCCACCTTGAAGCCATGAGTGGCTGAGCTGCAACCAACAGACCAAAATGAAGAGACTTTGCAGCTGAACTTGGTTGGACTGCAGGCTGTGTTCACACATAGCAGATATCAGACATGTATGGTAACAAATGTAAAATGTAAATGGTACTGTTTTCTAGTATTGGGATCACTTAAGGGAATTTGGAAAAACGTTGTACCTGGTGATTTCCGTTTTTCCATTTTTTTCAATTTTTGCAAAATAAATAATCAAACAAATTCTTTTTAATGGCATTGAGACTTTCTTATACAGCACAGAAACATTTTTGAATTCTCGTTACTTCTAGCCATGGTTGTGCTGCTTCCATAGAGGTACAGGACTTTTTATTGCACCGGAAAAATGAGCCTACAGCGAGTAAAACTGTGTAAAAAAAAAAAAAAAACATCGCCCAGAACCTGTTTGGTATTCAGAGGGTTAAGCTGCCTGAGTGTACCCGTGATATTAAAAATTAAAACTCTTATCATGCAGAAAAATGTCCTTATTTAACTTTTTTAATTTGTCTGATGGGCTGCTTCAGTGCCTACAGCCCCTCCTCAGAATGTGGCCATTCAGTCTGCAACAGCCACCCAGCTGGACGTGACCTGGGAGCCTCCACCTGTGGATGCACAGAACGGAGACATCCAGGGATACAAGGTCACATTCTCACGTTTCTTACTTGGTTCTGGAGCAAATTAATTTAATAAGCCCACTTTTATAATTTAATTTAATAATACAATTACACTGTGTTCCATTTTTATTGTTAGATATTTACATTTGAGTCATTCACAAGAGACTACATCTGTTTAATGTTAATCACCACTAAATGGACATTTTTACACTTCTAGCTAACACTGTTTTCCACAGGGGCTTCCAATGAACGGTTTAGTCTGTTGCTCAATAAAACATTTGCAGGGAATAAAATGAAATTGTGTCTTTCCCTTAAGGGAGTTTGAAATGGGACTGAGTTTTATAGAAGCAGAAATAGCTGTATTCCCTAAACAGTGTCTGAAGGCACGGTTTAATATTTATTTATGCCTGTGGTATTTCATGTAGATTTACTTTTGGGAGTTCCAGCGTAAGAATGAGACGGAGCGGCTGCGGACTCTGTTCATGCCTGAAGGAGGGGTGAAGCTCAAGAACCTGACCGGTTACACCACCTATATGATCAGTGTCGCCCCCTTCAATGCCGCCGGGGACGGACCCCGGAGCTCCCCGACGAGGGGACGCACTCAGCAAGCAGGTAAATCTCCCCGTACCCATCGATGTGCACATTTTTGTAATTGATATAAGTGACTTTAACTGTCAGGATTAGTGCAATCAAGTAAAACAAACATCGAGAATGACTATAAGTTGAAGACAAGGTTCACCCTAAGGACACGATACCGAGACACAAACAAAGTAATGTGGTGTACGCAGTCCAGTGCAAGGAATGCCATGACCTGTACATCAGGGAGAGGACAAAGGACACTCATTTGAAGGCAACAACGTACAGATTTTGACCAGGGAGGACAGATGGTTTGAGAGAAGCCGTCTAACTGGAAAGACCGTCCCTCAACAGAGGTGGAGGTCTGAGGCATCACCTCTCACCTGTTTACAATTCAGTCCTAAGATCTCTCCCCAGGAAGATGAAACCACATCCACACCTAGACACAAAAGACCCTAACGAACCCCTTTGTGGTAGGAGGAGCAATAACGACCCAAATAACGAGGGGGAGGAGCCACAAACCCCCATTTGAAACTGAAACTCAGGTGTTAATAGCTCCTTTAGGATATAAGTATCTGGAACTCCCAACTGGTCAGTCAGAGCTGATGAAGCCTCTTGGATGAGAGGTGGAACGTCTTCAAGGAACTCAAGTAAGTCCAGTTGCTACGATTAATGTACCAGAAAGACAAATGAAGCTTTGTTCAGTACGGAAGATCTGTTCACTCGCATTCTGTCTCGATTCCTGGCTGCCCCTAGACCCCGTTTTTTAGTTTCATTACAGTTCTGTCACTCTTCTTCCATGTCGCTAATCTTGCACCCGTGCCATCCCTATCACACCTGAATCTGGTGGTGGTATCATTGAGAACCCAGATATCCTAAGATCCTGCAAACCTTGTTTTTGACTTCTTATTGTGGACAATATGAGCCCGAGTTTTCCACATTGCTTCTTGGCATATCGCAGGTGAATCTTCAGCTCTTCAGCTACATCAACACAGCGCCCAGTCTTGACGCGTCAAGACGTTACTCAATCCCTTCAACACAGTCCCACTGGACCTGACGATCCAGCTCTGGTCTCGATGTCTCAAAACGTATCAGGCTATTAAGTTAGCCGATCAAGACTCACAGCTGTCAAAAGTCAACATCACAGACACCCTCAAAAATCATACCTCAAATGGAATTCCAGATTCCATGTCGCAGTCAGTTTGACTTCACGAGTAATGTCATCTGTCAGATAAAAGACGAGCTCCCTCTGAGGGACGACGCCCAGATCAAAACATCTGGTCCTGTCTGCTCAGTGACCAAACGGAGCATTGCTTTTCCATGACTATCAGGACAACTGGCTCTTAGTCCAGTTGTAATAGGCTCTCTGACGTCTGGTTAGCTCAAGTCTGCAAAACACTACAAGAGAAAACGCTTCTGTAACTCTACTTACTTGGGAAACATTTGCCCTTTTCTCCATCTCAGTTAGCATGCCACTTCATCCCATCCTCATTTCAACACCCTGTGCTTCTATATATCAGTTCTATAGTTCCTCGTATTCCTTAAATTAATCGTACATTTTGTAATATGTCCTTTCATCCCCAAATCTTTGGGGTTGGTTCACTTATCACCCACACAGATCCCCTTTTCAGTCCCTATATGCTTCATGGTTGAGATTTCAAAAGTTCAGAAAATTCTTCATCCTTTTGTCTCCTCTTGTTCCAACTCAGATAATCATCCGATGCCTAAAACCTCGGTTCATTTAACACTTCAGACAAGCGCTGCTCAAGTGCGATCTGAGCCCTCAGCAGTACTCAGGTGCCTCCTTCAGAACAACTTCTGCTGCCGTACAGGGAGTTTCCTTCTCCTCTTTTTAACTGGGTCTCTAGTCATCTGCCGCTTTTACATCAGACCTAATTCTCACTCTCCAAGTTCCCTGAGCTCAGCGTGTAGTTGGTGGCGGTTACTCGTTTACGGTCTAATTTGGCGCTATCTGTTCGTCTTCCAACAGTCCTTCTGCTTCTGGCTCTCGTTCGTTTCTTTCTGGCCTCCAGCCAATCTCAGGCTCTCTAACCTCTCTCTCTTTGGTCCATCTAGCCAATCAAAGGCTTCTGTTTTCTCCGGCCAATCAGGCTGTCATTTCTCCATCAAAGACTTACGCATTCTCTAGCCAATCAGGCCATCGTTTTGACTCGCCAAACAAAGGGCTCGAGCCTATCTCAAGCTCTTCTCTCTGGCCTGTGTGCCCTCTTTCTTCATTTCTAGATGTGTAGATGCTTTTGTTTGCCTCCTTTTTTTTTCATACAGATTTTATCAGTTTTATCGTATTACTGAGCTCAGCTTGTTGTACACACCAACCATCTAACGTATCATCATATCTCTGTTAGAATTGAAACTCACCATGGTCAGATTGCTTTACTTTGCATCTTTCCTCATCTTCTACCTTCATCTGGGACTCCCTGTGATAATGCCTCTCACCAGTGGCTAACCACCATAATACTTTGATTCAACATGTGTCTGCAATATATTTTTGCATCTGAAGTCTCTGTATTGAAATCAGGCTTAGCTTTAGTAAGTATGTGACTCTCATTCAGTGGTCTATCCGCTCTTTTAATTCATTGCAATTCTGGCAGTTCTGTCACTCTTCCTTCAAGGCAGCAGATCATACATCCCTCCTCCTCCAGGTTGTCCAGGCTATCTCAGCTACTTTCTATCAGCCATCTGCTAACTGTGCTCCACCACCGGGGGGGGTCCTGTCCCCCATCTCCTACCTCCATCTGGGATTTTCCTCCACGGTGTCACTTATCACCCGACAAAATAGTTTGACTTTCTGCGACAAACATTTGCTCTCCACTTCACATGATCTCTCGTTACTGAAAGGCGGCAACGAGACGACACCAGTAAAGCAGATAAATGAGGCGACTTCCAGCCATGTTCGTTCATTTGTCATATTTATGTGAAACGTTAGTTTGGAGAACCCTGAGAGCTTTTTTCTCAAAGTAGATGAGTCAGCCATGAGGAAAGAATTTGATGTGACGATGATGCTAATCATTGTTGTCAGCGTGCCAAACGATGTTAGCGGAACCACACACTGAGCATAAGTTTCTAATCAGCCGAGCCATTCTGAACTCATTCGCTGAATCACGTGTTTTGTCTGAAAAAAGTAAAAGGTATGAAGTTTTTGTCAGCGAGTTTCAAGTCCGCGGGCACGCTTTATTTAAAGAACAGCCCCGTGCCCTTCTTTCCTTTCTGTCTTTCTTCCGCCGTCTTCTTCCTCTGACTCAGGGGACCCTCTCCTTGTATCCCCATCTGCAAACATGTCAAAACAATATTTGTCTCCCAGAAACTCCAGTGTAAAGGAGCTCATTTTTGGTGTGTTTTACTAATATGTCTCAGGCTATTAAAACGTGGAGGAAAAAAAAGAAGATGTTCACAGCTTCTTGGTTTCCCTCAGTGGTCACTGTTGTCAGAGGAGGAAGCAGATGACAAGCTGGGAGGAGGAGGAGGAGGGAGGAGATAGTTATCCCATCTTTTTAGAAGACAAAGGCCTTTTGTCTTCTGCGAGCGTCTCAACTTCTCCTCAACTGGTTTAAAGACAACAGGGCAAACTGTGTTTCCAGCACTGTAATGGGGTCTGGAGGCTAAGAATGGTCATTGTGATTGTGAATTGCTGTGACCCGGGTCAGTAAGTAACGCTGAGCCTTTTTAACTCTGTGTAGTTTAACAAAATGGTGTTGTTGACCTAATAAATGCAGCTCAGTTTGTGAGCAAGGACACAAACTGAGCTGCAAAACATTCAGCCAGTGGATTTTAGTTGCAAAACTGCTGCACACACAATTTTAGAAATGCGAATATGGATCCAAAGTAAGAAAAGTTCCAGCAGGAGCTGTTTGGACCTACCAATGTAGCCTTTGCTAAGAAGAAAGTAATCAATTTTTACATTTTTTCAGAATAAAAGAGCCTCTAGGTGGCACGGAATATTTCCACACCTGTTGTGTTGCTGACCTGTAGTGGTTGACTTTAACAAGTTTTGTATTTCAGGTGGTTACAGATGAGTTAACTTTGGATTCACATGTGTTGAAACCATTCATCAAGCCTTTATGGATCTACCTAAACTTTACCGGTTTAGAGGTCTAATATGGTGAAACATTGAAGCTGTTAAGATATGAAGGCGTTTAAGCTTCAGTGATTCTCTTCTGCTCCCTGCGCTCAAAGATACTGCTTTTTAATACAGCAAATCCACAATAAAATGCCACATTTTTCTGTTTATGTTGCCAGACAACGAAATGAGTACGAAAATAGTGACTGAATTGCAGCTTATATAGACGTTAAGACTTGTTACTGCACCGCTTAACTGCTGATTTTATAACCACTACGTCATCTGACAAACTATTCAGCAACGCCTCCGTAACAAATGATCGCTCAGAGAGAAACTTGAAATGGTCAAAAGCGTTTTGTTTTGACAGCAGTAGCTCAGCTGTATTTAAAGCTACAGAGATTATTCAGACCACGGCTAAAGGTTAGGGTTAAAGGTTATATGTGGTAAAATGAGCTGTTTTTGCAGTATTTTGAGCTAAAAGAAAAAAAAGTAAAAGATGCCTTCAGTTGCTGAAAAGAGGCATATTATAGCATATTTAAAATAACGGGTTTACATAAAAATATTATGGTGCTTAAGTCAAAAATATAGATCTGCTAGACTCATACGGTTATCTAGTTATCTAACATTAACCCTATCTTTAATTATCAGCTCTATAGATGTAGATCTGTACATAATATGTGTTTGTATGGCCTCCTGCACACATTTTATTCCCACATGTCCAAAGGTTTGTCTCACGAATCCCCCTTTCTGCATGCTTGGTTTACTGTCTGTTAACCACATGTCCTCTTCATGTTCCAGCTCCCAGTGCTCCCAGCTTCATTCACTTCAGCGAGCTGACCACCACCTCGGTCAACGTGTCCTGGGGCGAGCCCACCTTCCCCAACGGCATCATTGAAGGCTACCGTCTGGTCTACGAGCCCTGCACACCTGTCGATGGTGATAACTCATTCCTGGCTAGCTCAAAGTTTACTTTGCACTACGTGGCTGCTGGCTTCTATGAAGGCTTCATGCACACTACAGGATGTATCGGAAACACTTACTGACGGTGTACAATTGTCAATTTGTTTAGATCAACTCAACCTGTTCAGAATCTTGTGGTGTGCATTTTATCTCGAGCTACAAGCTGACCATCACATTGACCTTAACTGCTCATATGTCATTGCAGTCTTTTACATGATGTTTTGACAAAATGCTGCATATTTCCCACGACTAATTCCATCACTGTGTATGTATGTGCGTGCGTGTGTGTGTGTGCATTTGCTGAGTGCGCCCCCACATTGCCTGGCCTGTGTAAGACCTGCTTTAAATGTGGTGTGTTTGTCTAGAGTCTTCAGTGGCCTGTGCCGACTGTCTTCACTCCCCCTCCCCCCCAGGCGTCAGTAAGACAGTCACGGTGGACGTGAAGGGGAGCGGCCCCCTCTGGCTCAAGCTCAAAGATCTGGCAGATGGCGTCACGTACAACTTTCGCATCCGGGCCAAAACTTTCATCTACGGCCCCGAGGTGGAAGCCAACATCACCACCGGACCGGGGGAAGGTAGTCGCTGGTAGTCGGCGTTTGTGAAAATGAAAAATCTTCCCGATGATTCGCCTCAAACACCTCATTCTTCCTCATCAGGAGCCCCCGGACCCCCCGGAGAGCCCTTCATAACGCGCTACAGTTCGGCCCTGACCATCCACTGGACGAGCGGGGACCCGGGTCGCGCCCCCATAACGCGCTACGTCATCGAGGCCAGACCCTCAGGTAGATCATCACCTCATTAGCAAATACCTCGCCTCACGTTTGCTTCTGTGATTAAGGAGAGCGGCGTAAAGTGTCAACATCTGCTGCCCCCCGGAGTCTGCGTCCCTGGTATTTTAATGGGTTATTGATTCCGGGGCAGCGGTTGAGACGATCGGCATCCTGTTTCGGCTGTGATTGACAAGTCCTGGCAGGGCGATCAGGGTGATGGATGGTGGGGAGGGATGCGTTTCACCGCTCTCAGGCGAAAATTGAGAGGAATACTTCGTCCTACATTTTAAAGAAGGTTAGCGAGGGCTGTTGGACGGTAATGGACAGTGTAAATTGGCGTCCAGGGGATGGTGAGGATGGTCGAACCGTTCCCTTCCCCCTCCGTCCAGATGCCAGGGGCCGTAACTCTCTGCAGTATCACGTAGCTTGCTTTCGTCCTCAGATCAAATGACATCAGCTTTTTTCCAAACTTTGGTCAAAGTTCGGCAGCGTGACGGATGAACTCTGCCGCTTGTTTATGTTTGCGTGCCCCATTAAAACAGTCAACCGTACATTGATATTTACAAGCAGCAAAGTGTAATAAATGATCTCTGGCAGGAATTCCATAGCAGGCAGCGAGTCATCTAACACTGCTTGGCTTGAAATATGGCCGCGCCGCTGTTTATGCTGTAGATTTGGTTGCTGTAAATTTTTACAAGAGCGGGGAATTTGATGGATTGTGTAATATTTGTAGGACTTATCAATTACCCGGGGAGCTGCCAGCCAGACCGGAGCCTTAAATCAAACAAACAAACAACCTGTTAACAATGACATATTGACATTGTTTAAATATCTGGCTTGTTTTAAATAATGCTTTGTTTCCTCTGACTGAAACTTAAATTCCATCACAGACGAGGGTTTGTGGGATATCTTAATCAAGGACATTCCCAAGGATGCAACGTCGCACACCTTCAACATGGACATACTGAAGCAGGGGGTCAGTTATGACTTCCGGGTAATTGGAGTGAACGACTACGGCTATGGCTCTCCGAGTCTACCTTCTCCCTCTATATCCGGTGAGCTTTCGTGCATTTGCTAATAGAATTGGATTTCCATTAACTTTCGGAGTTAATTAAATTCCCCCAGGTGATTCCGACTTCACAGAAACGCGGCTATATGTTTCTAACAACCATGAATTTCAATTTTCTGTGTTTTATCCAGCCCAAAAAGTGGCTCCCTTCTACGAGGAGTGGTGGTTCCTGGTCGTGGTGGCTCTGGTGGGGCTCATCTTCATCCTGCTGCTGGTTTTCATCCTCATTATCAGGGGACAGAGCAAGAAATATGCAAAAAAGTCCGAATCAGGTGAGCGCACACAATTGCACAATTAAATGGAGCATTTGACTATCACGGAAGCCTTCTTAGCCGGTGGCACGGAGGGGCCGGGAATCTGATGACTTGTCGTTTTCGCATGAAACAGTAACACTTAATGGGGGGGAATTTAATGATTTGAACTTTTCAAATACTTAGCAGAGAAGTTTTTTTTTTTCCCGGAGAAGGTTATATTCTAATTTTGAACGAATCAGATCATTGGTTGAGTCGCAGGGGAACAAAAAAGCAGCGAAGGAGAGGAGGGAGAAGCAGGAACAGGGGGCATACTTGTCCATTCAGTGCAGCTCTGACATCAGCGGGTATTTCCCTCGGCTCAGCACATTTTGCCACGGCTGTTTGGCTGCCAGGCAGGGAGGGGAGGGGTCCCTGCGGGTCACTGCCCATCTTTCTGACTGACAGAGGAAAAACAAGAGGTTCCTTCTCACTCCAACACAAAGACACTCTCAAAGCCTCCATATCCCCCCTCTAGGAATCTGGCCCAGGCCACTGGACCTACCCAGTGCTATTTCTTGTTCTGTGTGTTTGCATAACCACCAATTGACCTTAAGTAGCCCTGGAGCTACCGCGGAGGTCCTGGCCTGGCTGTAGCCCCCCCCTCCCCTCCCCTGCCGTTACTCTTTGGATGACTGAAAGTGTTTTTAACCTGGCGAGCACTAGTTTCTCCAAACATTAATCTAGCGTGGAGCAGCACGGCAAGCCTATCACTCTCACTTTATAGCGTTAGCGTTTTCATCAATCACGAGGGAGTCAAAGCAAAACAGTTATGTTATTGCCCATTCATGTGTGATTCACAGAAAATGTTTACACGGGGAGACACACTCATTTATCATATTTTACACATACGCCTCGCTGACTCTGTGTATACACGTGTCATTTGTACTGAATTTGTGATGTTAGCGCTCTATGGGAAATGTCCTTTGTCATTACGCCCGTAACATTTACCATTTTTCCTCCGCGTCTAGGGACTCTTTAAAAACCCTCCTCGCTTCAGACTTGTTGTGATTATCTCCACTGTACAAGTTATTTTCTTTGTCAGTGTGTGTTTCCACGACGGAGATGTAAGAAACAAAGCTGTGCACATAAGCCTTGATTTGTCTTGACTTCTATTTTAAGACTCCTTTGGTGGAAATCAAGTTATTTACCTTGTTATCATGTCCATATGGTGGCTTTTTTTAGAGGAGACATCAGCGTTTCCATCTTGAAACTGCAGATTTCCCAAAAAACACAGATGCAGACCACCAGGGTTTGATCCATAACAAATCAAAGGAACCGAACATCATCATGCAGGCTGACATACTTACTTGTGTAGCATTAAATATAGTGTTCGAGCTGAGTTGTGGGTGAGCTGGTGTGCTCCAGCTGGGATGGGAAGGTAAAGAGAGACGTGTGGAGTTGCATCGAAGGGGTTGGTTTCAAGAAAGAAAGAAAAAACAACTTCTAAGTATGAAGCTTTTTAATACACTGATTTTTTTTTTTCTTTTTAGTGCTTTAAACATTGATTGGAGAGGGAGTTTAAAGAAATACTTCAACATTTTGAGAAACAGCCTTCTTCACTTTCTTGCTCAGAGTTAGATGAGAAAATCAATATCACTCTTGTAGCTGTCTGTTCAATATAAGGCTACAGCCAAAATAAGAGGTTAGATTAGTTCACAAAGACTGGATACAGGCTAGCAGCGTGCTGTATGAGGGGAACAAATCCACCTACCAGCACTCCTGAAACACGCTCATTTACATCTCGGGCTAACCGTTCCCTTAGGCGGGGCTCATACCACAAGAGTTTAGACCATTTTATTTCTATTATTTCATCCCTCCTAACAACTGAACAGAAAAGCTAAACCAGTGTTGAGCCCAAACTGCTTGGTAATGTGAGGAGTGTACAGATGCACTCTGAAACCCTCTGGACTATTCGCACAGTTAAAATCGGCATGGTTACCATAATCACGCTTGTGCACGGATAAAGAGACGCTTTGACCAAGTCACCCTACAATTCCTAGTCCTTGGGGTCGACTAGAGACATTAAAACTTCCCAACTCTTACTGCAAAGTATTATTAGTGTTACAGCAAGTTGTTGCACCACAGTCTCCGTTTCGTTTGCATCTGTTTCCCCATGAGATCGCACAAGGTGACGCGTGATTACTCCATCTGGCGCAGTGATCCTGACGATATCCTGATGATATTATTTTCACGTCTTCTAGTGTCTGAGACCGGACAGATATTCTTCTGTCTGTGCAGTTTCCCCTTATGTGCCTGATGCAACCTGATTTGGAAATCTGTTTAAAACTCCTGTAGCGTGTGCCGGGCCTTAGCTAGCTGAGCTATACATCTACTGGCTCCGGCTACATATTTTATGGCATTGATCTTTAAAAACTAGCTCTTGACGAGAAAGTAAATAACTTCTCAAATGATAACGATATTGCTTGAAGTCACTAAAATGAAGTGTTTACTTGAACCTTGAGAGCAAAAACAGTTGAATCTGAAGGTTTGACCTGTTAATGACCGTGAAAATTCTGATTAATTAACAGCTTTGAAAGAAGGTTTTTTTTGATTGTCACAACTTTGAGATTTGAAAGACACGCAGTTGACGGATAATTGCATTTGCCCTGAAGGACTCGGGGTCAAAAAGGGCAACGTTTCCATTCATTCAGTGCATTGATGTAGCTCATTAGTTATTTGTCTTGTTTTTCATCTTTTAAATTCCTCCTTTTGCTCACCCACTGATCACTCCTGTACATCCACGCTCCCAGACACTAACCTGCCTGTCGTCTGGCCTGTGGTCACACAGTGTCTCTGTACGTCTGTCCAGGTAACAACTCCAACTGCAACGCTCTGACCCACGGCGACATGGTCAGCCTGGACGAAGGCCGCTTCCCCGCTCTGGAGCTCAACAACCGACGGCTGTCTGTGAAAAACTCTTTCTGCCGGAAGAACGGCGTCTACACCAGGTGAGGGAGCCACACCTCGCGAGGAAAATCAATATTTAATCTGGGAGATTAATTTAAAGTCGAACAGAAGGTAAAATAATTGGGTTATCCATGGAAACTTTAACTCATGCCTGAAAACATTTTGAGCTCTGTGGAGGAAAAAAAAAAAAAAGAGAGAGAAAAACTCTTGACAACTTAAATCCACTCCTTCTGCTGTGTCGAAGCAGCACATAACCAGACTCACTACAGCTTCTCTTTTAATGAGCGTCTGTATTTCCGCGGATCCGAAGCTTCGCTGGTCTTGAGACCGCGGTCTTGTTTAAAACCAATCACTCTGACTGACACCTGTGCTGAGAACACCGCGGAGGCTGAGGCATAAGTCCAGTTTCAGATCCGACTGCAGCTTTGCATTAGATCATTAGAAGCCTGTTTACGCTGCAGGTAAGAGGCGGACGCAGAGACAGCTGCTGTCATGTCGCGGAGGACGGTTGAAAAGCGTGTCGCCGTTTGTCAGCGGTGACTTTATTTCATGTGCATTTCATATTCTTTGGAGGAGGAAGAAGAGGAGGATTTTGAGGAGACAGGTGCAGGAATTAGCATCCTGTGGGCTTATGTCCATATAGCCAAAAAATACATTGTCTTGTGCAGAAGAATATGAGGAGCTGTGTTGTGTGGGTGTGTGCGCTTTTGTACGCGTGCAACGCGAGCGTGACCTTGAGGACAGATCAAAGCCGGCGCAGGTCTTTGAGAAGCTTCCAGGCAGCTTCCTACCACTATGTGTGAGTCTTGAAGGGGGAGGCCGGGAGTGAAAGAATGCACAGATGTACGCTTCAGAATCAGCCTCTTTGAACTCAGCCCGTAGCGGAGAAACCCAAATCCCAACACCTGAGCCTCCGATTATAGATTAATGCCACATCTTGATCTCCGGTCTGTGAATACCAAAGACAGAATGGAGTCGTCTGCCTTATACCGGGATCAGAAATCAAACTCTTTCTTAATCCCACTGTATTCATTCTGATTCAGGGGCTGTGTCGGACAGGAAAATGCCATTTACAGCCGAGTCTGATGGAGATTTTCTCTGTGTGTAGATCATTTGTTCGGAGTTTAACACCAGAGCCGATGTGTGCGATCCTCAAATCGCGTAAATCACAGGGAGGTCAGTGACTTAAGCCCCTTTCAAACATGCACCTCTCTTGGTTAATCTGACTGCTTGTGAACGTGTCGCTTCGTGTCTGAGTGAGCGCTCGTTTCTCTGTAAATGCTGCGGTAACAGTCTAGTGGGTTGGAGCTAGCAACAGTGCCGTGCAGTTAAATTCACATCAAGTTGCGTGAAATGATTTGGGGAAGGCTTCGGCCACATTTCAGCGCTAACATTGGTCCAAAAGCATCACAGAAAGCACAACACATATACACTCACCGGCCACTTTATTAGGTACACCTGTCCAACTGCTCGTTAACGCAAATATCTAATCAGCCAATCACATGGCAGCAACTCAATGCATTTAGGCATGTAGACATGGTCAAGACGATCTGCTGCAGCTCAAACTGAGCATCAGAATGGGGAAGAAAGGTGATTTAAATGACTTTGAACGTGGCATGGCTGTTACGCGCCATGTCATGAAGCACAAATCATCTCAGACTGTTTCCCTGAGTTTGCTGTACTCCAATGGCCTCCACAGTCACCAGATCTCAGTCCAATAGAGCATCTTTGGGATGTGGTGGAACGGGAGATTCGCATCATGGATGTGCAGCCGACAAATCTGCAGCAACTGCGTGTTGCTATCATGTCAACATGGAGCAAAATCTCTGAGGAATGTTTCCAGGACCTTGTAGAATCTATACCACGAAGAATTAAGGCACTTCTGAAGGCAAAAGGGGGTCCAACCCAGTACTAGCAAGGTGTACCATACGGGATAAAGTGGGTAAAGCAAATAGATGAAGGGGTTATCATCACACATGGACAGAAATCACGAATGCCATTCAGTTATATAGACAATTTTATAAGTTGATATTAGTTCAGACTCATTCTTTTGTCTGATCACGTGTCGTAATGTCCACACATGTACCATCAGGAACATTAATGGACCAGTGACCCGTCTCTGAATGCCATAACAGACTGATGAAGTCAACAATATTGCATATCACATGTTTGAAAAGGCTTTTAATTTTCCTCAGCCTTAATTGTCAACCTTGTTATGGCTGTGAGTAGATTTAAAATGGAAGCTCATTACAGTGCGATAGTAAACAATAAATCATTTACACACTAGGTTTTAAGGCACTGGTAGTCAGAAACCGTTCGGCGTCGCACTGAAGTCGTCCGAACGCGTTTTCAGGGCTGACATTCAAATCGTTTGCCACTGTTATGATAAAGCAGGACGGATTAGCGGCGGCGTGGCTTTGTAGCATTGTCTTTCAGTATTTCGAAACCGGCTTTGACACTCTGCTTTGGGGGTTTAAGGAGGTCTCGGCGAAGTAATTCAGTGTAGATTAACGTGGTTTTGAAAACTCTTGAGTGACAAAGCTCTTGAACACTTCAGACATGTTAATGCGTCCCTTTAGGCAGCTGTGGCAAGAGGAGAGCCCGATAATGAGCATAGACCAGGGGCGGGTTTGATTTCACCCCCCTCTGGTTCTCATTCCTTACCTGACACTCTGCTGACGGAATTTTGCTGCGTGAGGATTAAGTGGACCTTTCTCTATCTAAGTGAGGGAGCTGATAAATAATTTACTCTCAACAGTGTATGAGAGTCAAGGAGAAGGGTGAAAGTGGGCTGAGATTCCTCAGTGTTTTTAAACAGGCAGTTTATCATAATGTCCCAGTAGGCTCACAATAGCATTTCTTCACATTGGCTCAGTTCTTTGTTTGGCTGCGTTATGAGGCGGCCCGCTAAGAGGACTGCTGAGGATTGCAAACTGCTGAAGGTTACTCCGGAGAGTCCTTCTGGGAATAAGCGCAGATAGAAAATTCAGAGCTGTGATTACAACTTTGTCGAGATGATTTCTGAGTCCGACTGCCGCTGTCGGAAATGGCATCCCCGGGGCAAAATTGACTCCGCCGCTGTTTTAAAAAGTCGTCCGCATTTGCACTAATGCGAAGCGTTGTTAGAAGAGAGGAACCGGGGAGGGATGCTGGAAAACGAGCTGGGTCAAAGATGGTGTTGGTGATTATTACTACTTATCTTGCTGCGAGGGAAATACTTAACAACTGTTAAAAAAAAAAAAGTCAAAACTTCTCTCAGTTTATTGCCACTAATTTACTTAATTAATTAGAATAATAATAATGCTGCACTCATGATCAGCATTTCAGTGAATATGAAGATGGATGAGCCCTCCATGACGTCACCTTCAGGTTTCCTGCAGAGCTGGGTGGAAGTTTAGTGCGGTGACTCCGGTTGTCGCCATCTTGACAGTTTCTGAATCCTTCTAACTTTTTATTTGTTAAAAAATGAGCAAAGAGATGGAACGCAAGTTGAGCTGCCATCAACAGTTGTAGAGCAAAGCAGCCACAGCCCTAAATATACACAATTTTAAGCTTAAATACAACTTAAATTTCGAGTTATATAAAAGCTCACCCCCTGTACGGTTGTCATCAGTGGTTAAATTAGCCATAGAGACCAAAAATGTTTCTGTACGAGTGTGTAAACGTGTTTATTTCTGCTGTAAAGTTGGGCATTTAAACATGGGGGTCACTGGGGATTGACTCACTTTTAGAGCCAGCCTCAAGTGGTCATTTGAGGAACTGCAGTTGGATTTTTTTTGTTCATTCATTTTAACTGTTGTCTCAATTATAATGCGAATTATAATCACAAAGAGGAAATAACTGCAAAATACATTCATAAGAAAAGGCCGGAGACATACACACATTCATACGTGTATGATGCCACGACTTGATTATCAAAATATGTATATACAGTCATGGCTCGATAATCCGACCCTTAGCAATCCAAAACCTTGCTATCCAACAGGTTTTAGGAAAAATTAACGGAACACATGAAAAACAGCCTTAACATACCGACAGCCTTGGATTCTGAATCCCACAGATCGGCTACGTTCAGACTGCAGGACTTAATGCTCAATTCAGATTTCTTTGCAAGTTCCTTCACATTTCCAGTTAAATGCGACTTCTATGTGATCTGCTGTGTGAACTTCATACGACCCAAAAGTGTCCCGCATGCGCAGAAGAGGACACGACGACGTCACCAGCGAGCGTGCTCAGTGTTTACGGAAGTAAACATGGATGGTAACGGTGAAGTGTATCTGCCACTCCCCCGCCGCCACTGATGGTGGAAACAGAAGTGTCACCGCTAACTAAACTGGCATCAGCAGCCAAGTACTGCTTGTGTGTTTCGGCCACTTCCACCCAGTCGGACCGCTCCCCCAGGGTGGAAGTGTCCCCCGGCCGCGCCAAATATTCAGATATTAATTATTAATTGGGCGTGAATATCCAGAGACCATAAAGGGCTATTGGGACTAGCCCTAGTTTGACGTGTAGGTCGGATCAGTGCGACCTGGCCGTTCAGACAGAAGTCACATGACAAAAGATCAGATACCAGTCGGATTTAGGACCATTTACCTTTGATGTCAACCCACGGGCCCGTGAACAAGCGCACTGGTCAGTTAGGCGTGAAATCCAGCGATGCGTAGTGCTCGAACAACACACTAGTTATTATAACAACTATGAACAATGAATATTAACAACAAATGAGCTTTCCAGCATCAAGCCCTCCTTGTATCTCGACCTCTGTCTTGACAATTCGACATAAAAGAAGGTTTTACATTTAGTGTCGGATTATCGAGTCACGACTGTA